GCGCATTATTTTGGTATATAGGTCCCCTTCATGTGTTGCAGAAAAGACTCATCAACTAATAAAAGTTTTGACGGATTTACTCAGTTGCGGCAGTGGCCTACTACTCATGGGTGATTTCAACTTCTCTGGTATTGATTGGCCGTGCCACGCTGCACAAATACCTGCTGGGTGTGGGGGGGCATCCGTAGATTTCATTCGTATGTGTCAGCTATTTGGGCTTTCACAGGAGGTGCGCTCAAATACCCTGGGACACAACAAGTTGGATTTAGTCTTTACCAACGATAGCCATCTCATTACAGGGGTTAGAGTTGTTGCTCCAATGGGTGTAAGTGATCACGCAACAGTATTATTCACTCTTCATGACTACGTCGACAGCCCGGAATATATTACTCGTAGGGATTTTAAACATGCTGATAATGAGGGAATTATCGATTACCTCAGTGGTATTGATTGGTACGGCTCCTTCAACTCGGTGGAGTCGGTTGATGCTATGTACGAGATATTTTTATGCATCTTGCATCATGCTATTGATTTATTCGTCCCATGGGTCTCTCTTCCACTGCGTACTACAGTACTACCAAACTACCTTCAAAGGCTACAGTGTAAAAAAGATTTTGCATGGAAAAAAGCTATGAGTACCGGTAGTAACCTTCACTGGGAACAATTCAGACGCATAAATACCCACTTGTCTAATCGATTAAAAAAGTACTATGCAGCTGTGGAAAAGAAAGTTGTTTCCTCAGGCAATAAATTTCTCTACTACAAATTTGTGGGTTCCCGACTTAAGGAAAGGAGTAAAATTGGTGCTCTAGTGTCTGAGGCTGGGTCAGTATTAATTAATGACTTTGATAAAGCAGAATGTTTTGCTAGTGTGTTCGAAAAAGTTTTCCAAGCCCAGGCATTTGAAGAGGTTGTGGGTGGTAACCAAGCGTTCGCAGCAATGGAAGAGGGCCCATGGTTCTACAGTGAGGAGATTTATAAACTACTGATCACTTGGCCCAGGTCCTCATCTCTCATCCCTGATCTATTACCGCTCCAATTTATCAAGTCTATAGCGCACATAATCGCTGGTCCGCTACAATTTCTTTTCAACTTGAGCATGGCTAGGTCGGAGGTTCCAAAAAGATGGCGATCTTCATATGTGACACCCATTCCTAAGAAGAAGCCATACACCCATCCCAATAACTTTCGCCCAGTTAGCATCACTTCTATCTTCGCCAGATTGTTTAAAAAAATACTAAAGAAAGAAATTGTTAAACATTTGGAGAATCACGGAATCCTTTCCTCCACCCAGCACGGGTTTCGGCGTGGTAAGTCTACTACCACTGCGATGCTGCAATCACTCAATGAGTGGACCCTCAATTTCGATAAAGGTCTTAATACCGATGTAATCTACTTGGACTTCACCAAAGCTTTTGATAAGGTACCCCACCCTAGATTAATCCAAAAGTTGATTAGTGTTGGGTTGCATCCCCGTATTGTTGCTTGGACCAAAGCTTTTCTTGATGACAGGTCCTTTATGGTTCGTATCAATGACACATTCTCTCGACCTAGAAGTATGTGTAGTGGGGTACCTCAGGGGAGTGTCCTATCTCCCATTCTTTTTAATATCTACACCCATGAGCTTCCGCAAATTCCTGTCAATTTTGGCGTTAGCTGCTGTGCTTTTGCAGACGATTTCAAATTGTACACGACAGTAATGGAAAATAGTGATAGCAGGCGTTTGCAGCAAGCGCTAGATGAAGTTTATAAATGGTCACAAGATTGGGGTCTGCCAATCTCCAGGGAGAAAACAAAACTGATTCACATTGGACCTTCACATTGCAACCCAAATACAGTCTATTTTTTGGATAATTTAGCACTGCAGGAAGTGGGTCGGATCAAGGACCTGGGATTTCTGGTGACTGATAATCTTACATTTGATGAGCATTGCAGGCTTACTGCCGATAAAGCAATGCGGGCGGTCTACAACCTGTTCAGAGCCCTCTCAACAAAAGACGTAAAGGTTCTTTTAAGCGCATACAAGACCTATATCAGACCTATGTTGGAATATGGGACTGTGATATATAATCCGGACCTAATCAAAACCAAAAATTACCTGGAAAGAGTTCAAAATAGTTTTACGCGCAAACTGTTTATCCGTATTATGGGTTTCGAATATGATCTCATACCTGATAGTAAAACTCGTAATAGGAAATTGGGTCTATCATCTCTTGCCCATAGGAGGCATGAAAGTGACCTTCTAATGGCTCATAAAATCTTGTTTGGTAATTGTGGCCTCGAGTTTAAGGATTTCTTTCCTACCAGACAATCTAATACCAGAGGCGGTTCAAGAAAACTAATTATCCCCAGGTCCAGACTTAGGGTCAGGCGAAGTTTCTTTACATGTCGTGTTATTCGTGATATGGATAGGCTCATAAGAATTCGATCTTTTCCTGCGAAGCTATCTTCTTTTAAGCGCATTTTAAAAGATTATCTGTAGTCCGACAGAGTATGCTGTGACTAACATATGGGTTTTAAGCTGTTGTTTTCTTTACAACCTTCGTATATGCATTCTTTTGTATTTGATGTTCTTTGTTTGTTATGTGAGACATGGGATCTCTCCATGTAATAAATAAATAAAATAAATAAATCTTCCTTTCATGCTCCTGTCCGATGGACGCTTCACGAGTTCCTACTATAGAGTTACCTTGTCTTGGCATATATCTTTTGTGAGAAACGGAAACTTCTGATTATTTTCAAGCTTTATCATTAGTCATATATTAGGTTGTCCCGAAAGTTCGTTCGCACCATTTTCAAAAAATCATAACTTCTTTGCATCATAACGATTTTGGGCAATTTACATTTTATTAGAAAGCGTAAAGCATGTAGTTTCCAATAATCCCCTGATGACTTTCCAGCACGTTCAGATTGCAGAGATAAAAATGAAAGAACGAGAACATCCGAAATTCGGAATTTTTGAGCAAAAATTCTAAAAATCTAGAAACTGCGCGATAAAATCCAGAAAAGCCATTATCATAATTTTTCTTATATTTGATTACTAACAGAGTTAAGTTTGTGCTGATCGAGCTTTTTTTTTTCAAAAGTTATGATTTTTTGAAAAAAAAATGCCGAAAAATCAATTTCTTAAGAATTCTTAGGAAAGTGATTTTTCATTTTTTTTCAAAAAATCATAACTTTTGAAAGAAGAGCTCGATCAGTACAAACTTAACTCTGTTAGTAATCAGATATAAGAAAAATTATGATAATGGCTTTTCTGGATTTTATCGCGCAGTTTCTAGATTTTTAGAATTTTTGCTCAAAAATCCCGAATTCCGGATGTTCTCGTTCTTTCATTTTTATCTCTGCAATCTGAACATGCTGGAAAGCCATCAGAGGAACATTGGAAACTACATGCTTTAAGCTTTCTAATAAAATTTAAAATGCGCAAAATCTTTATGAGGCAAAGAAGTTATGATTTTTTGAAAATGGTGCGAACGAACTTTCGGGACAACCTAATATACAGGGTGTCCCAAAAAATGTGCCTACTGTTTGGTTCAAAATAACTCTCTTGTAACAAAGTGTTTCGAGAAGCTTTAGGTACCGTTTTGTAGAGCGAGGTTAAACTTAGATTTACAGTATGGAGCGGATCATTTATCTCTCTTCATTACTGTAGGATTACGGTACGAGCTTCGACAAGGATTTTAGGCCATTGGAGGCTATATTCTGCCTCGGAACAAGACCAAACAAGCCAAAACTCTTATACTACGGTAATAAGAGCCGCTGATTCCAAATTTGAAATTTTCATTCTACTGTGATGCTTCTTTCCAAAGTTTCACCGGTAAATCGTGATAACTCAATTCCCAGCAGTTGTCAGAAATGTAATTACACCGTCAGAAAAGCTGAAAACACCCATAAAAAGTTGTTAGGTGGAATCAGCATGCGCGAAAACCCTGATACACGATTTTTCAGATTTTTTGAAAAAAATTTTATTAGGTGGTATATTTCACATTGGCTCCATATGCTGGAAGTTCTTACCGTAATCCTACAGTAAAGAAAAGCGATCGATGATTCGCTTTATGCTGTAAATCTAAGTTTAACCTCGCTCTACAAAACGGTACCTAAAGCTTCTCGAAAGGCTTTATTACAAGAGAGTTATTAACAATCAAACAGTAGGCACATTTTTTGGGACACCCTGTATAATACTCGCGTACAAAAGTGACAAATGTACCACGCAAGCTAAACATGCTGCTAAAGCACGGTCCCATCTTATAATGCAGTTAGATTTGTTAGCACTCTTATTCTCTTTTATGTCATAAGATTTAAATCTGACCTCTTCTGTATTGCGAATCTTGATCAAGTTTGTGTCAGTGGATTTCCGAGTAATTTTGTGTGCAACGCTCCCAGGAATGTTGTCATTGAGCGCTAAAGCGTTTAGTTGCGAAATTGAAGCTAAACAATTGACCAGAATTACAATGCTGAGCAGTTTCGAAAATGAGTTTTAATTGCTAACGTTGTTTCATCTTCTCGTTTGCAATTTGTGACTTTGTTAAATTGATTATCTTCTACAGCCCAAATCTTTCTGAATTGTGGACCAAGGTGACTCCAGCACAATCGAAATAAAAATTGTATACATCCGGTTCTTACCACTATTTGGGCTGATCATTCTCAGGGCTCGGCATGGTGGCTTGTAAAGCAGGCTGCATATCGTTTTTGGAACAAAAAGCAAAGGGGTTTCGTTTTATGGTCGAAAAGACAGAAAATTTGCGAGGTTTTTTTTGGTCAATGCTTCGTTTTTTTTTTCGGAGATTTTTTGGAATTATGACCCTAAAAAAACAAACAAAAAAACATGACCCTTTCACTGGCCGTGTTTGTAACGTGTTTTACCTGTAATTTGTAGAATTTCATTGAAGCTTATTCGGGCTTGCAAGTGTTAGAGTTGCGCTTATTCAATTTAATTACCATCGGAATCGCATCCTTGCAGAGATTTTTCATAAGGTGCAATGATTTTATTCTAGAAAATGATGTTTGAAATCCGAGGAAATTGTTCGATTTGTTCGCAACCATATGTAACAAACAATATCTCGGCTTTACTATGTGGACATATTTTTCATTATGACTGCATTGTGAAATGGTTTGAAGTGAGTCAGAATTCCATCAATCAATTTTTTCATATTTTGAGCTTATTTTCAGCGTTCACAAACATGTCCAACGTGTAGAGCTCCCACTAACAACAATCAGCTAGTTAAACATTTATTTATTGATGATCCAAGTGATCACAATGACAATTCGCTTCTATATGAATCTCAACCTTACGATGTTGCAACTGTGAGCAATGCACTTCCTTGTGCTGAAGAAGAAGTTCGCAAGCTAGCAATTCTCAGTGAATCACGGATACGAGAAGTCCTACACAAATTCGATGACTTGATATCAAATTTACAAAATGCAGAGGTTTCATTTCAGAAATTTATTCACATTTTTTGTTTTATCACAGAAATCATTCAGGTACTCGCTGACTGGAATAGCGTCTCGAGTGAAGTTGCATCACTACAAGATAAAAATAAGAATGGAGAGGACGCTGGAAAATTAAATAAACCTTTGGAAATTGCAGAGGTATCATTTTAGATATTCATTCACATTTTTTGATTTGTCATAGAAATCATTCAGTTACTCGCTGTCGAGATACGATTTTTCCTACACGAATTCGATGACTTTCTTCAGTCGAAATCAAATAGACCTTTGAAAATTGCAGAGGTATCATTTTAGATGTTCATTCACATTTTTTGTTTTGTCATAGAAATCATTCAGTTACTCGCTACGGAGATACGATTTTTCCTACACGAATTCGATAACATGGTTCTAAAGTCCACTACTTCAAATATACCCTCACAAAGTTCAGAGGTATCATTTTAGATATTCATTTACAATTTTTGTTTTGTCATAGAAATCATTCAGCTACTCGCTGAGTGGAATAGCCTCTCGAACGAAAATGCATTACTAAAAGATAAAATTAAGGAAATGGAGAGAAAATTGGAAATATCTGAAAGACGACTGCAAGCGTGTGAGTTGTAGGTTTTCATACTGTAATTTTTCTTGCAATCAGCTTATTTCTACATTTAGGCAGTTAGACGAAGCGAGGGGAGTACAAAAACGGCTCTGAAAAAGACGCGAATCCTGTCAATTCAAAGGAAGTACGGCAATTAAGTGATTACTCAGTTCTGTGACCGTGCAACTTTGATTATTTAGAATGACTGTGATTGACTCTTATCTCATTTTGATTCCTACTAAACTTGAGAGCAAGTAAACAGCTGTTTTATTGAGAAAGCTACATTTTTTCTTTGAGTGCCACTTATTTTTTGATCACTCTGATATCATATTTCTCGCAGTGGCCATCTCGTCTGGTGCTTTAGAATTCTATTTCAAAGCATTCACACAACATATTTCTTTCTTTGTAAATAAAACTTTTAACATTTATCTCCATGTCTGTCTGTTCCATCACTCTGATCACGAACATTTTTTGAAGTATTTTTAATCACGCTCAAGTACTAGAAGAGATTTACACAGCACAAATAGAGTGGCCCCTCACAACAGCTCGTAAAAAATCAAATGATGTTTTTTCGGGGGCATTTATGAGCGCGTTTACTTTTTGTGCGAGAATATTTCGAAATTTTTGCTGAAAGTGGCGTTGGCTACTCGCATCGATAATCCAGAATCCCCATAAGTCATTTTGCTGATTAGATACCATTATGCAAATCAGTCGTTTGCTGTGGAATTTATCTTGGGCACGCAGCCACACACGGAACTGCTCCACAAAGCTACGTGGATCCATGCACTTTCTCGTCATTTCAGTCATATTGTGCTTTGACAAAACTGATTTACAGGCAAAAAGGAAAGAAAAGCAAAGAGCTCGGACAAAATTTGGAGGCGAATCAGACACAGAACAATGATTTGCATGGCTTAGGTGGAAACCGGGCCATTCCCTGGTTGGGATGAGAAGATAGGCTGCAGGTCAGGAGGTACGCCGCGCGCGGCGGCCGTTTCGCCGCGCACGCCGCGTCCCGAGCTTGTTACCCATAGAGCTCCCCATATAGAGACTCCCCGCGGCAAATCGGGGGTGAGGGTGGAGGCAGATACATGACTCATTGCCATAAGTAACATTGCACCTGGAGTGCTGCTGTTGTATTGGTTGAAGTATGTTGCGGCGTCGCTCGCGGAAAATTCGCGCCGATCGTACAGTCTGCCCCAACCCTGACCAGGCCAAAATTGGCTTAACGGGAATGCGCGTCGCGAGGGTTTCGCGCCACTTCTGCGTCTAGCTGGTCTGCTCTCTCCTCAATCTCTTCGCTCTCTGCGACAGCGCGCTTATAGGCAGTGGCTCGGCAGATTCTCGACTTGAAGTTTTTCGCTTGCCTGGGGGTAATTCGAGGCGTTGATTCCGAAAATCCACATTAGAGAGCTTGAAAACGGCGAAAAGAGCGTTTTTCGATGCCCTTACCCTTGAGATTGGACGAGTGGAGCAAGGTGGATGACGCTGAATTGTGGCGGGACCGAACACTTATACCATTGGGGAGGGCAGCCTCCAATGGTAGAAAAAAATTGCCAACTCGTCCGCACAAGGTGTTAGGGGAGCGAAAGGAGGAAGGGGAGCGGAGCTTGGCTCGCCCTCATGGCTTGCAGAATTCGCATTTTCGGCCCGGAGCTGCTGTTTTGGTTCACTTGGAGGGCCTTCTATCCATCTACGTCAAATTCTGAGGTAGGTCTATTCTGCCGAGCCGCTGCCTTTATGCAGCGCAAACCCCTAGCGCTGCGAGCGCGCAAATTCAGCCGAAATTCAAATTCAGCCTGATCCCGATTGGGGCAGACATACCTCCTGACCGTCCCCCGAGAAGACAGCGTCACGTCCACTCATTCTGCATTGTCCTTTTCTTGCGGGATATCGGTGAACCTAAACACTTGAACCAGAAATGGCAATGGCTATACACTTTGTACAAACTCATTCAAAGTCTCTGGCTCATTTGATCCTCGACTTCCCATTTTTTGCTTACTTCGGGTTATCTCACGTGAAAATCCACCTTCAAGAATACGAATACGGCGTTTAACAAGCATTTTTCAAAGTCTTGTTCTAACGGGTGTGGTGCGGAAGGCGTCTCCAGTCTTGTGCCTATCAGAAACTCTCCGGTGTCAAAGTGACAACCCGGGGGACTACGGGTGTGGGGGGTGGGGGCAGATATATTACTCAATGCCACAAGTAGAAATCCGTGAAAGTCATTGAGACGGATGATACACTGCCTCCATTTTTCTCCGACTGTCGCCTTCCGCATGCCCCCCGGTAACCTGAACAAATGGATGCAGAGCGCGTCAAAGGCAGGGGCAGGGAGTCGTCCCGGGACCGTTACGATAACAAAAATGCGATGTGCAAATAAACGCTCACAAGGAAATCGCGTTTGCGCGAGCTAGTTCAGGATCTGATTTGGAATGCTCCTATAGGAGCCGTTCTATCGTCCCCTCCACAGATCGTGCTACCCTCGTGGCGTCGCGGACGTGCCACGTGTGACTAACACATTGGCAACGTTGGCAGCAACACGTTGACAACATTCAGCAACATGTTGGCGTGGCCAAAATGTTCTGCTAACATGTTGGGGCATGTTGCAAACATGTTGTTGCCACGTTGCCAACATTAGCCACACGTGGCAGGTCTGAGACGCAGACCAAGGGTATAGGCTGTCCGCGCAGGGCGCGTAGAGTGCGCAAGGTGTGTATTGCGCGTCACTCCTCTTTCCACATGCACTCTCGCCGCCTGTTTTTCTCTGCGCTCAACTATCTTCATTGGACGCAACAGCGTTGCTCTCCGCGCGCAGCGCGGACGGCCTGTAGCACGATCTGTGGAGGGGGCGATATGTATATATATAAATTTGGTTACATCACCGTTTCTAACGTACGGCGACTATGTTCGGTAGCGTGCGGGTCTGCTAAGGACTAGGCAGCCATTTCAACTGATGTGTCAGAGTTGCTTAGCGCGCTCTGTTCAAAGGTTAGCGCAGCGGCGTTTCGCTACATTCGTGGACCACCTTACTGGATTTTTACTGGTAGTACGTTCTGTTCGTTTATCTCCACTCATTCCTTTCTAACTTCAGCTGCAAAATGCCTGTGCTGTGCGCTCGTTCATGCAGCGCAACCATTTGCGTTGCGGTTGCGCGTCGCAATGCCACTGACTGGGTCATTCGTCTGAAACAGAGCATGTCTGACTATCTTCTCATGAGATGATACAGAGTCATCATAGATCGTCTCAGCCTTCTTCGGAAGTTTTTGGATCTCATACAATTTTCCTCTAATCGTGAATCAATGTAAAACGGTCCAACTTTGCTGCCTTGTACCCTACGTGGGATTTCACAGCCGTACTCGGAATTTGCAACTGGGAGGAAGCTTTTCTGACAAAATGTGTTTAGGTACAATAACATTGATGAATGTTTTGATTTGCGTCAAATGATAAGAGAAAGCGATAATCAACTGAGGCTTCTATATGCTTCAGGTTAATTCTCTGTGTTCATAACTAGTAAAGTTCCGTCTACAAAACACACAACTATTGCAGAAGTCTTCACTCCATCATTTCTTGGCATTCTCGTGTTACTTATCGTGCGGCTCCCTGGTGGAATGGGAAGATTTATATGTACGTTAGCATGCCTTGGGCAGATAGGAGCAGCTTTGCTACTTCTTGCAGTTGAAATTTAAGAAGTTGTCATCAATAGGTATTAGTGCGCTCCATAAAGTTCTTATTTTACGTTCTGCCATGTCTAGAAGTGCGGTAATGTTAGTCCGCCCGATCGTGATGAGGTTCCGCAATAGATTGTGATGCCATGAGTAGGTATAAACAAGTCGGCGCGCGCAGAGACTGTTCGCATTTGCATCTCACTGGACAGTACTGTTTGGCCAAGAAGCCTCTATGCTAGCCTCTATGTAAGTGATGTATGGCGCCGACGCACTGCTGCCTTTGGCCCTATTTCTTCAAAACAGCCAATTTTTGCGCTTTTGTATTATCAAAGCGCATTTGACAGCGAATTACCTGCAGATAGAGGTTGTATCAATCTTCCCCGTCTTCACGGGATCGCCTCGCCAAAGCTTCGGCCACCAAGACTGCGGATGTATGGCTTGAGCAGACTGGCTTTATCGATAGCTTAACGCGACGCAACGTTCGTGCTGTGACTGTGTCCCGGTAAGCTATCGATACGCTGCGAAAAGCGAGTTTCCCATTAACACGGACTATTTATAGAACCCTGGGACAAGTACTGTTCTTCCGTTCCTTTACTGGTAATCTTTTCATATTTCGCTAATCGTGCCTTCTGTATTTCTTTCGAGAAGGCCGGCAATTTGGCACAGAGGAAGGCTAGACTTGGACGGAAATGGTGTGCATGAAATGTGAATGTCATGAACATCTCATAGTTCCTACGCTAATTTCCCTGCTCGTTGACAGTCATAGAATAAAGATGTCTAATTACTGCTGAAAAAACACTCTAAGCTTGAAGAGCGAAAAAACTCTGCCTTTGCTGGTCGAATATGGTTTGAGATCTACGAAGTTTAGTAATTCAAACGTTTATTTGACAAGGTAATTATTAATCATAGCACGGATTTTCATAAAATCACAAAATCAAGCAACTTTTTCTACAAATCAGCATCATTATGCATCACAGGAAAATAGAAATCACAAATGGTCAAAAATCAAAATCACAGTTATATACGTTCTCCAAATGTTAATCAATTTTCCTCCTCTTTTTCGACGAAATGTGCTCGTGGACCGCTTTCGTTTCTCCTCTCCATCAAAGGTCTTCTTATACTTCTCCTTTGCTGAATTATGTTTCTGAAAACACTATGGATGAAAGTATAACCCTAACCCAGCAAATGTAGCTTACTCACCCAATATCCGCGGTCTCCCGATTTTCGACTGTTTGATGAATAGTGGGAGGGTTACGAAGTCCTGAAACATGTAATTTAACAAAAGCTTATGTTTTGAGCAGGGGCGGTTCCAGAATTTCCGTTCGGGGGGGGGGGGCAAAACTTCTGGATAAAGGAGCATGACGTCAGCCACTCGTCCCAAGGCTTTTTTTTTGAGATACTTTCCAGAATTTTTGCGCGCTCATGAACCGCAATTTTTTCACTGGCCTAATACGAATTTTCAAAAAGTTGTGAAAATTATTCTGATTTATTACAAGTACAAACAGTTCACTTGCATATTTTAATAACCTATGTAACTTCCAAAAATTTCGAGACCCATTCTTTGGGGCGGAGGGGGGTGGGGGCTTTGCGTGATCGCCTATAGAGATATACGGCATGATTGTTTACAGCTATCATTCATCTTGGCCTTTACCGCCAAAGGAAATCACTTCGTAGGTGAAATTATAACGCTGTAAATACAGAGCTACCCCACCCCCCCCCCCCCCTTTCCGGTTTAAGAGTTCAGCTGGGTACTGCATTTCAAAAAACAACATAAAACAACAGAATACCATAGATAAGAACAAAACCTTACTTTGCCTGAGAGGTATCTGCATAGTATTTGCGGCACGGGCATCACGTAGTTCTCTTTCCATGTTCTTGAAAGAATACCGAATTTGTTGCATAGATGTTTATGTAGATGTCTATAAACCTTTAAAATTTTCTCCAAGTCGCTTTCCTTCTTCTTTGACGCTCTAAGTTGTTCCCGCTCGGCACGCAGTTCTTCTCTCAATCTTCTTTGGATATTTTTTGCTTCCTCTAACTGCCTGTAATTGATACTGACCTCACTTTGCGTAAGTGTGGCATACCTTAGACTAACCTTTTCTGTATATTGATGAACTGTTTTGTTCTAAGTGAACCATCGTCTCTCAGAAGGGTATCCAAGGCATTTTCACCATCCATGGATGTGACGATCTTGTAACTAAAATATTGCCTAACGATGTTTTCGATTTTCCAAGTTTCTCAAATGCTAAAAACCCACATTTCGCACGCTCTTAGGTGCTTTGTGCTTTTCTCAAGTGATCGTTCTAAGGTTTCAATTCGTTTTAAAAGGATATTATTTTTACTGCGTTCCACTGCGACCTGAAGATATCCAGTGGAGGAAAAATTACACAAAGAACATTAGAACAGCTAATACCTACCTCGGCTTGGCAATGTAGCAGCAGAGAAGAAGAAGATTGCACGAGAGAAGAAGAATTTTCATAAGAAGAATTTAGAGGCATATATAGTGGACCCCGGCCAGCTTCCCATATGTACCTCCGCGCCGCGAACGCAGCGCATGCCTTCAGTGCTCTTTTCGCCCCAGGACCTATTGATTTCTATGCGTTCCTCTCTTTATTAACTTTGTTTTTCCTGTAATCTCTTTCTTTCAGGGTTAAACGGATCACACCAACTGATGATGACAAGTTTTTACGAGCCTCAAAAGTCTTGAGAGCTTCTGCCTCGAGCTTCTGCCTCAAAAGCTCTCATTTTTTTTCCTCCGCAATAACGATTAAGTATATTTTAAAGAGATTTCTCTTCAGGGTTTCTATCACGGATCGAACGTATCTATTCGATCGAATTTGTTTTGTATAGAAACGAACTATCCGATTAAGTTTGTTTTGTCTAAATCTTTTAGTTCCTTTTCAATGCGGCACTGAAGCTTCAGCTTGTATAATTACGCTCTCCAGCTTATGCTTCTAGTTTTTCAATGATTGCAGAAGAGTCGTTCAAAAAGTAATCCTCTTTTCGCTATTTCTATGATTTTCACCCGTCAGTGGTAGTTTTATACTAGTATGCATGAGAATGACAAGAAACCAAGTGTTCGTGGAAGTGGACGCGTTTTTTTTTCTGCTTAAGCTTTTCTCGAGGTGAGAACAGAGGGTTCCACTTCTTGTCTCACTCCTGTCTTGTCTGGAAAATGATTTTTCGTTCATATGGGATGAGAAGCGTCAATAGTGCGCGCGCTGCGTATGCGCTGCGGAGGTACATATGAGAACCTGGCCGGGGTCCACACTAAGCTAAGTAGCAGTCGTCACAAAGAGACTTTCGAAAAATTCAAATGCAATGGACTGCCGTCCGAGTTTAATAATTTCGCGCCATAACAGTTTTGATCTTAGACTCAACGAAGTTTCGCAAACTTCACAAAAACTTGAATGGAATGGAGCGTCAAATTTACTTCGAGACAGCACTTCGTCTATCTAATACCAGATAGTCTACAACCATTTAGAAATTGTTATATTAGTTAGAAGATTTCTCGTGAATGGCCGTAGCATTCATTCTCGATGCACCAATATACGTTCTATCTCCAATCTCAGTTCATTTTTCCTCACTTTTCATTTTTGGTTGTAATTCCATTCTATATGCGCAATTTCATCAAAGACCGTTTTGCGGTGAAGTTTCCATGTCTCCCTCTCTCTCTGACCAAATACTTCTCCTGATTGCAGAGCATTGGGTGCGATCATGTTGTCTCGATGCACATGTCGGATGCAATTCCTCTGTACGTCCGTAATAAGCCAAGATGACAATGGTGGGTTGTTTTGGTTAATTTGGTTAGCGTTCAGTAGTGCTTTACTTGTTTCACTTTTTATGTCTCGCTTTGAATTTTGCCCATTTTTCTTGAGAACAACTGAAGCAAGGACTTTTTTCCCGACAAAAGTGCTGTCGTGAAACGAGTCTCAACTTTCACCAAAACTGTTGCTCACTTTTTGTGACTGTCCTTGCCCTCTGCGAAATATCCATTGTGAAGGTGTTTTTTGGTAATTAGTAGTAACATAAACATAGAAGGTGTGACAGTACCTACGTTAATCGAGATTAATTGAGATTTACCCAACCTTGAGTCTTTTTTAATGAAGACAGTAGCTGAGCAATACCTCTTTGACATCACCGGGGGTGGTGACAGGCAGCTGTAAGAACTAATGTGAAGAAAAAAAAACCTGGCTGTACCCGAATACGGCGTTTAACAAGCATTTTTCAAAGTCTTGTTCTGAACGGGTGTGGTGCGGAAGGCGTCTCCAATCTTGTGCCTACCAGAAACTCTCCGGTGTCAAAGTGACAACCCGGGGGACTACGGGTGTGGGGGTGGGGGCAGATACATTACTCAATGCCACAAGTAGAAATCCGTGAAAGTCATTGAGACGGATGATACACTGCCTCCATTTTTCGCCGACTGTCGCCTTCCGCATGCCCCCCGGTAACCTGAACAAATGGATGCAGAGCGCGTCAAAGGCAGGGGCAGGGAGTCGTCCCGGGGCCGCTATGATAACAAAAATGCGATGTGCAAATAAACGCTCACAAGGAAATCGCGTTTGCGCGAGCTAGTTCAGGATCGGATTTGGAATGCTCCTATAGGAGCCGTTCTATCGTCCCCTCCACAGATCGTGCTACCCTCGTGGCGTCGCGGACGTGCCACGTGTGACTAAAGTGGCTACACGGATTAGACTAGGTACTGCGCGGCGGTACCGCGTTCAAAACTCACTGGAACGCACACAAACACGAAAACGGTTTACTGCAACCGAAACAACAAGAAGAACAAATGAGCGATGCAAAAAGGCTCAATAAGAACAAGAGCAAACTACCGAACGAGTGAGCAAAGGATACGCAAAAACAACGAATGAATACATCATTGCCCTAGCGGGCGGAGACAACAAATAATCAATGAGATTTGGCGCGCTTTTGCTACGCCTTGATCTTCTGGAACCGTATGTAAAAGAAAACCCTCAATTTAGCACCCCGCACAAGTAATGAGATACACCAAGAGATTCAAATGAAGTGAGAAGAAGAAAACACAAAGATCTAAACTACACAACAAGAAAAAAACCAAAAAGACAATACAATAGTGCCTCACGGCCTACCTAGAAACTCAGATCAAGTGCATTTCTAGCCTAGACAGAATGTGAGTGCTACCGTATGCAAAAAAATGACAAAACAATGAAACTGCTACGGTTACATCCCTCCCCCTCTAATGAGTGTCGCCCCTGGCACTCAATAAGGGTAGAAACGTCCGCGGCTATGTCCTGGGTAGCTGTGGTAAGGTGTGAATGGGCGATAGTGGTATCTGTAATCTTCTCGCCTGTGGTCGAAGTATTCTGGTGGGCGTCCATATCCTCGCTCGTGTTGATTGGACGGTCCAGGTTGCATGTGTCGATGATCACCGAAGTGATGCTGGCGGTATGTGCTGTGACGACTGCGTTCCCGATGCTTCTCTATTTTTTCGACTGGGTCCATAGCGACATCCCCTTTGACGTACTCGACTACGGTGCTGATGAAGTCCCAAACTACCGCTTCTGGATATCCAGACGAATCCTTAGGACGGGGTCTTATCCCTACTGCAAGCGCAGGCTCGGCCATGCTCGGCGTCTGAGGTATCTTCGTAACGACATTAATACGGCTTGCGTAAGCGGCTTCACGAATGGTATTCATCATTTCAATTGTCTTCAATCCCGTAGCTTCCCATTCTGGATCTCCGCGTGGTGGTGATAAGGCTATCAACTTCCCTCCTGCTCGCACTGCGTTCGTAAAAGCCATTGTTAACTGCATCCATTGACCCTCAGGGGGTAGTTCCTTTTCCGTTGGTCCAACAAAGATGAGGTTATACGGTTCGTGCAGTTGCTTTAGCTTGACACAGATTTCTGGAAGTCCTTGGTATACAAAGGGTGTCGTCGATTCACTGAACCTTATCACATACTTATGGTACGCGAAACCTTGAGGCAGTATCAGCATCGTACGTTCTTTCTTTTTCTCCACTTTGATATCAGTCCATGAATGCGACATAGCAAACTGTACTCCTTCATTGACGAGGGCATTCACTTGATCGATAGTTAATCCACAATTCCCATCGTATCTCATCATCAGGCTGCTCCCATCATGCCTCATCAAGTCACGCATTGTGTGAAGACAGTGCCTTTTGAAGAATACGTACGCCTTCTGGACACCGGACGTCGTGATAAATGTATGTTTTCGATCCTTCATTAGGAAATTCCTTTTATCTGGATCTCTCTCCTGCTCGAATATTGAGATGTAGCGGGCAAGCGAATAGATTGTTGTGATCGGCAGTCCAGCTACGACAGGATCGACACCTGGCACGACATCTCCAAAACATTTCCCTTGCATATCGCATTCGAATTCATCTTCGCCTCTTCGACTGGTGCACTTGTGGAACAAACTTAGTGCCGAATTGTCCGTGTGCGATGACGAAGCTCTGAAACAAGTAGCATTAGTATGCGCAGATAACTGCTTTTTCCTATTCCATCTTTTTGTTTTGGTTACTAGGGGCGTATCATCTATTTCTTGCGGAACTTTTACCAACATATCATAGTTTACTCTAATTGGTTCGTCATTAGTATTGAGACGTGACAAGAGTGCTGAATTATCACTAACTTCTAACACTCTATACGGTCCACTCCAGTCATTACAAAATTTAGGGTATTTCTCAACTCCCTTTTCACGTGGCAGTCTCAAGAAGACTCTATCACCTACGCCAGGATAACTTTTTCTTTCAATGTTAAATCTTTTATCATAATTTTGCTTCATCTTTTCTCTCATCTGCACATTACGTTCCCTTACCGACCTTTGGATCATTTCAATACTAGTTAGAAGCTCACGTTTGTAATCATCTAAGTCAAGGTGATTGAAAGAGAGCTCTTCTGGCGGCATTACTTTTGACGGGAACCCAGGGTCAAAAGCGTGCAAAACATAAAAAGGGCTTTCCCCTGTTGACTCATGGGGTGCTGAATTGTATGCAAAAACTACCATGGGCAATAAGGTATCCCATTCAGCTGGTACTATTGTCTGCTTTTTCAGCATTCTAGTTAGTGTGCCGATCACTCTTTCGGTGATTCCATTTTCACGTGGGTTGTAGCCTTTCGTTACAGACTGTTCTATCCCCACAATGGCACAAATTTCCGACAGAACATTGTTCACAAACTCCGGCCCTTGATCGGAGTGTATGGCTTTGGGCCAGCGGCAACCTCCGCATACCCATCTTTCAAAGAGGGTTCTTGCCACTGTTTCGGCTTTCTTATCCGCAATGGGGTACGCTCCTGCAAACTTGGAGAAGTGATCAATCACCACCAGTGCGTATCTATTTCCCCTTTCTGTCAATCCCAACTCCACTAGGTCCATGCCTACCAACTCAAACGGTTTGTTTGTCACGATTGGCTTCAGTGGAGGGGTATTCTTCTCGTGTGGTCTTGTTACGAAACATTTCGTACAAGCTTTTGTCCACTTTGCTATGTCTTCTTGCATTCCGTTCCAGAAGAAGTCTTTGCTTAACTTCCGGTACAACTTCTTAGCGTTGAGGTGCCCTGCTAACGCACCTGCATGCGCTTCATCAAATAGTTCCTTCCTCTTTGGTTTTGGGACTACTTTCAGTGCCTTGTCCCCTATCATTATCATAAGCAGTCCCTCGCTTATGAGGAAATCTGCAATATGCAGCTTTTTTCCATATCTTGGTAAATGGATCTCTTTATCCATTCTACCCTGTTCAAGTCCTTCGACTACCTTTGCGTAGTCCGTATCTTGGCTCAATTCTTCGAGCCATTCCGTTTTGGCTTGTGATTGTGCCGTGCACACTATGGCGGCATTTTCTTCACACAGCGCTGATTCTACTGGGACTGCCGTGCGCGACAAAGCGTCCGCTACTGCATTTGTGTTCCCTTTTACATACTGGATTTCCAAGTTGTACTTTTGTACTTCTAAAGCCCACCTCAAGACTCTTGCAGAGATGCTAGTTCTTTTAAACAAACTTGTCAGAGGTAGGTGGTCAGTCTTAACTATTGTCTTCATTCCATATACGAAGAAATGAAACTTTTTCAGTGCGAAAACGAGAGCTAAGGCCTCCAAATCCGTAATGTGGTATTTGGCTTCGGCTTTTGTTAGTCCTCTTGAGGCAAAATAGATAGGATGTAGCATCTTGTCCGTACTTTCTTGGCACAGTACTGCGCCTAAGCCTTCTGTACATGCATCCGTATATATGACAAACGGATGCGTTCCTTCCCTTGCTGCTGCGATATTCGGCTGCGCTAAAACTGGTGTCGTACATAGCCTTTGTTTCAAATTGCTGAACGAATCCTCTTGCTCCTTTGCCCATTTCCATGCATTCTTGGGACTTGTGAGCATATAGAGTGGTTTAGCTATCTTCGAGAAGTTCAGTATGAATTTCCGATAGTACGCTGCCATGCCCAAGAAGGTGCGAAGCTCCTTCAACTTCGTTGGAGTTGGGTATTCCACTATCCGTTTTATCTTATCCGGATCTGTGTGTACTCCATTTTTGTCGATGATGTGTCCGAGGAAGACTACCTGCGGCTTCAGAATTTCGCACTTCTGCGGTTTTAGCTTGAGATTGACTTTCCTTAGAGCTTCCAATACGAGCTCAAGGACAGCATAGTGCCTTTCCAGTGACTCCGTGGCGATCAAGATATCGTCTATGTATACAAAGACCTCTTTGTCTTTGACTCCTGACCCTTCTAAGACCATGTCCATCATGCGCTGAAACTCTGCTGGACTGGTTGTCAATCCGAACGGCAGGACTTCAAACTCGAAGAGACCTTCGCTTGTAGTGAAAGCACTTTTTTGCTTGGCATCTTCTGATAATCGTATCTGCCAATATCCTGATATCATGTCCAGGGTGGAGAAGTACTTTTTTCCGCTGAGACTTTGTAGAATAATGTCGATTGATGGAAGGGGATAGGAATCATGTTTTGTGACTTTGTTCAATTCTCTGTAATCCACACAAAGTCTCAAGGTTCCGTCCTTCTTCCTCACTAACACCACTGGTGATGCCCATTCCGACCTACTTTTCCGGACAATTCCTCTCTCTTCGAGGTTTTTGATGATTTGTTTGAATTCTTGTCGGGCTCCTATGGGTACTGGTCGCTTCTTTTGCTTAATTGGTGGATGACTCCCTGTATCGATGTTGTGAGTTACCAAGTTTGTTTGTGTCAGTTCGGAGTCGTTAATCGCGAACACGTCTGCATACTGTCTGATAACTTTCAGCAATTCTTCCGGGTATTTGTCATTTGTTTTGAGTGCCGCTATCACTTCCTGCACTCTTTGTTCTCCAGTCTTGTTTTCTCCGTTGTGAAAGTCGAGAGCATCTGCCGTTGGCTCCAACCACTTACTGTCAATCCATTCGCCGTTTTCGAAGTTCCCAATAGTTTGCCCTTTTTGCAGTACTAACGGTTGGTTATTCTTGTTTGTCACCGGTATTTCCGTCTCTCCTTTGGCTACCGGTTGACAGATTCCATCTGGTATCTGAGGGGAGTTTGAACAGAATATACGCGCGGAGACTCCTTTCAAATACGCCACCGTTACCATCCTGCTCGCTCCCGCTGGTATATATGTTCGCTTCTTCACTTTGGCTGGAAACGATTGCGTGCTGTCTTGTTTACCGGCTAAGTCGAAAGCGGTGTCACCATTAGTCACTTTGAAGCCAAACTTGCCTAGTGCGTTTGTTCCCAAAATCAGTAGATCCTCAAGTGACCTGCTTACAAATAGGGAGATGTTCTCAGTCTTGCCACAAACTTCTACGGGGACTTTTATTGCGCCCAAGATTTCCATTTTGTCTCCTGAGGCAGTGCGTATCGTGACGTCAGTCATTTTTGGAACTCTCTCTACATACGCGTCGACGTCTATTCCTGCATCTCTTGCCTTCTTGAAAAGCTGCAGTGGAGCTATGGACGTTTCCGAGCCCGTATCAATGAGTGCCCTTATCTCCAAGTTCATTACCGTTGCCGGTACTAATAATTTTCTTCCGAAGAATTCACCCGCTTTTTGTTTGGCGTCCGTGCTGGCACACAACCAACTGTCAAGAACAGTTGAAAAAAGTGCCGCCTCCTTTCCTCCCTCTTGCCTAGAAGTATCGGTTTTGGTGATTTGCACCGTACATTGCTTGGCTTTATGTCCCATTTTCCCACAGTTGAAGCATTGTCTGGGAGCATCTACATAGTTTAGTGTCTTCTTTATTCCTTTTTCTTCCACTGGTGTATTATTCCCATTTCTTTCCACGACCTCCTTTTGCGACTTCACCCACTGTCTCGGTGTTGCTCGGTCGGCGTGCAGCCTCTTGTGGTGTGAACCTCCCTCCGATTTTTCGTCCTTTCGGCATAGGTTCCTTTCTAACATCAAGGCTGCATCCTTGACGTTGTCGTACACTGTGTCCTTAGGGCTTTTTTCAAGCGCCTCTGCTAAAATAAAGCTGCCTTCCCACTTCGTCAGCTGCGAGTATAGGATTTCTGCTTTCAGGAGTGAGAGCCCCTTCAAATCTTCACCAGGAAACGCCTGGGAGGCCGCTTTCTCCAGTACAACGCAGAAATCACTAACTGATTGATTGTCCCGTATTTTAAGACTTCTCAACATTTTCAAGCCTTTTACACATGAAGTGTTGCCCCCTTCCGATAAGCGTTCCGCCATTGCCTGGACAACACCGTCAAAAGAGCCCTCTTTTATACTTTGCGGCAATGTTTCATATAAATTTAAAGCTTCCCTTCTTAAGAAACTCTTAAAAATTCTGATCAAGTATTGATCGTCCCAGTACATTTTTGAGTATTTTATCAAAAATGCTTCCACAAAACTTTTGAAGCTCTCTGTTGGTTTACCATGGAACGGTCGAACATCAGGTAGTACATTCGTTAGCATGACGTCTTTCATGGTAAACTCAACAGCAGAGTTGTTTCTTGCCTCATTTTGAAGAAGCATCATATGCGTACCTGTGTCCGATTGATGTGGTCTTTCTCTGTTTGAGTCTGGCCTGCGCATATGCAAGGAGGGCCTCGGGATCCATTCCCGCGCAGAATCTGTCGATGTCCGTTGACGGCCCTGTAACATGAACTCATGATTCTCTTCGTTTATGTGTGCAAACCTTGCGTATTTGCTTTGGCTTGCTATGTTTCCACAACTACCTGATCTGTCAGTGTCTTCCGAATCTGATGCATCAGTATGTATCTCGCGGTTACGGACATTCCCAAAATTTTTTACCTTTGCCGTCAAGCGTTGCACCTGTAATTGGAGTTCTTTAGCTTGCTTCTCAGCCTCTATCCAGTTATCTCTACAGGTTTTTGCCTCATCTACTACTCTTGTGACTTCCTCTTCTAACTGGGGCTCGTCACAGTTCAGTATTGCGCATAAAACAGCAATTAGTTTGTTTTGGCTAAGTTTCCTATCTAGGCAGCGCTCTAAGTCATTTGGCAAAGTTAGCTTAGCTTGCTCCAAAATTTCTATTGTTTCTGGCTGGATGTGCGCTGCTTCTGTTATGCCCGTAGCGCCTAATACGCCTTCTAGGGTCTCTTGCATATCCTCTTCGACCAGCTTTACTTGCTGTTCGATTCTCGTGAGGATAGCTTCCCTTCGCTTATCGCCTATACGAAAAAATGCGCTTATTTCTTTTTCGCATTCAATTTTCAATCGTTTTAGGCTTTCATGAAGTTTTCTACATTTTTCGTTCAAGTCAAAACAGTGTATCCTTACCTCCTTCTCGGTGGTGCCTTGCTCCTTTTCATTACCCTGGCTGACATTCTGCTCTTCATCGGGATTCATCATTTTCTGCAATGCAAAATAATGAAAAACTGTAGACTTCTGCGACAGTACGCGATAGAGCACGAGTGACGGTAGAACGCGAGTTACTGTATATGAAACACAGTAATATCGATTCTCGGAATTGCCAGCCGGTATGAATCCTATTAGCAGCTTTCAAGGTAGCCCTTTTGCTCGTTTGTTGCGGCCGTAGGCGCGCGTATGAGTCTGAATTTAATCGATAGTAATCGATAAAGCAGGGTGTAACCGCTGGCTTAAAGCTTTGAAGTTGTTGGGGACTGTAAGTGCCCCAATTCGATGATACTTGGTCAAGCGGGGCGTAGCCGCCGCTACAATCCTCAAAAGGGTTTCAAAATTCTAGCGGGGTGTAACCGCCGCCTTAACAATTCGAAATTTGTGGGACTATATGTGCCCCAAATTCGATCAATACCTTTCCCAAAAAACTCTCAAAATTCTAGCGGGGTGTAACCGCCGCTCTTCTCTAAATGGGGACTGTGAGTGCCCCCTTTTTTTTTATTGCGGAAGGTCGTTGACGCTTCCCTACTTATTTCGTAATCAGCGGGGCACAGCCGCCGCCTTGCTATTCTTCTTGTGGGGATCACTGATGCCCCAACGTTCCAGTGAGTGGTTCGGCCCCCAAGTGGCTTCACTGACTAGACTAGGTACTGCGCGGCGGTACCGCGTTCAAAACTCACTGGAACGCACACAAACACGAAAACGGTTTACTGCAACCGAAACAACAAGAAGAACAAATGAGCGATGCAAAAAGGCTCAATAAGAACAAGAGCAAACTACCGAACGAGTGAGCAAAGGATACGCAAAAACAACGAATGAATACATCATTGCCCTAGCGGGCGGAGACAACAAATAATCAATGAGATTTGGCGCGCTTTTGCTACGCCTTGATCTTCTGGAACCGTATGTAAAAGAAAACCCTCAATTTAGCACCCCGCACAAGTAATGAGATACACCAAGAGATTCAAATGAAGTGAGAAGAAGAAAACACAAAGATCTAAACTACACAACAAGAAAAAAACCAAAAAGACAATACAATAGTGCCTCACGGCCTACCTAGAAACTCAGATCAAGTGCATTTCTAGCCTAGACAGAATGTGAGTGCTACCGTATGCAAAAAAATGACAAAACAATGAAACTGCTACGGTTACACTAACACATTGGCAACGTTGGCAGCAACACGTTGGCAACATGCAGCAACATGTTGGCGTGGCCAAAATGTTCTGCTAACATGTTGGGGGCATGTTGCAAACATGTTGTTGCCACGTTGCCAACATGTTAGCCACACGTGGCAGGTCTGAGACGCAGACCAAGGGTAGCACGATCTGTGGAGGGGACGATACATGCTGGACGGACGTGGTCTGGTGTTTAGTTGAGCTGAGAAGGGGGGAGGGGGCGTACAAGGCCTTGAGTTTTTCAGTTTTGTCGAAACACTGTCTTTAGACTTTTTCCATGGCGGCATATTCCAAACGCTTTGCGAGATACTTGGGTTATTGCGAACTAACTTAGATTTCCTCCATGTCACTTAATTGTTAGTTCGTTTGTATTTCCAATTGATATTTCTTTTCTTTGGCAGCGTTTCCATTCTCTGTAGTCCTTATGTATATGTTAATGACGCCTCTTCTCATATCAAAATGTTAAGCCGTCGTTTGCAGTCACAGAAACATAACGAAGGAATGAAAATATCCAAGCTAGCAGATTAAAAGGAGAGCACGTAACATGGGAATATGCTCTCGAACGCATGTGGCTCTCCATTTGTATACTGTGTCTGCTGCATCTGGCAACATGCATGCGAGATGTCGAAGAAATTGAATGGAATCGTTCTGCATATTTGGTAAAAGTGAGCTTTTTTACTTTGCTTTTATACTTCTCTTTGCTTTGTTTGCACGCTCACATTTCAGCCTTTTCTTACCTCTTCTCGATAATTCAGACTCTGGCTGAAGCCCAAGACGGCGATCGGGTTCTGGGCTGTACTGGCACATTGATCACGCCTTCGCTTGTACTCACATCTTCGAAATGTGTTGACAACACTGAGTCAGTTCGTTGGCTTATTGAAATTCGTTTGAGTATGTTGCCATCTACAACTTTGACTCGTTTTGCCCGACTATTTTTTTGGGTTGTACATTCTTCATAGTTATTTTGTATATTAAGAAATACGTAACGTTTACCGTATATGCAATTCATCGCACGCAGAGACAATTCACCATGCGTATGTTGTTGGCGTCTCTCTGATCTCGGACTCAGTTTTTCCTCTTACCGTTTGCCGTTTTTCCAAATACAGTCGAGTGAATTCTTCGCTCAACACAGTATGCTTACGGTGCCAAGAAAATGTGGTAAAATCTGCGCGTAAAGCCTCAGACATAGTTCACGCAGTCTCAACAAATCCATTGCATATCAATAGTTCTGCTCGGGTGTGATAGTTTTCCGACACGACCAATCGTGACTAACTACCACAACCGAAATGCAACGACATGCAATGGACTTGTAACAGTTGTCTTGTCGGGAGAAACGCTAGGCGACGAAATCGCGTGAACTATGCCCCAGACCTAAACAAACAGCTACGCTTATAATGCCTGCTACCTGCTTGCGCATATTGCTGGCATTTCAGTCGAACCTGTTTGTTTGCGCAAATGTTACCGCATTTTCTCAACATCGCATGCACACTATACTAGACAAAAAAAATCTATTCGAATCCATGCATTATCGCATTCGCGCGCATTGGCGTTTAGTCTCTGTGTGCGAGAAATTGCCTATGTCGATTTCATTTTCGTATCAATTTACAGAAATAATGCGGTCGTCATTTATGCGAAAGGATCGAGGTACAGAAAGCGCGCCGTGGCGTCCATTACCATAAATGGCGATTTCGCTCTTTTGGAATTTCATCCTATAAAAGATGAGGTTCGTGGCTTCAAAAGTTATCTATGAGGTGTAAAGATGCTGGGGAAGAGAGAGCCGGAAGAGCGTTGATTATCAAAATTTCAATATAAACCCGCATAGCTCAAGCCTTTAGTTGTGTCCACGAAGTCCTGCACCTGTACGACTTAGTCGACTACCTTTGAATATCACGCTGACAGCCGCTCCGTGGGAAAAGGTCAATCTGGTTGACCTCCCGGAAGCCAAATGCAGAATGACAGGGTTTGAGACGGTCTCAGGTAATTTTTATTTCGAAATTGTTCAAAAATATCAGTCGTCAAGGATACTACCGTCTGCGCCCCAGAGAGGTTCCCATGTGAACTAGCGTGCGTACGTGGTGCGACGCTGCCTTTCGCTCTTTTTGACACGTTTCTCCTGAGATTTCAACGGAACTGCCTGAGGTTAACACGTTCAAAAGTGCAAAAGGCAGCGAGATGACGTGGTACCTATGGAAACCTCTCTGGGGCGCAGACGACACATCATGTAGCGCATTCTTGTGAATCAGGTTTTGCTTCAGATGGGAAGAAACACGAAAGTGCCTTGAATCATTTGTTGTGGATTGAATTATTTGTCGTCAGTGAAATCAAAAATTCATTTTGGAATGGCCCTTTCCGGCAGCGATACAGTCTGCTCGGTCGCATACTCTCGTTACCATCAACTCACTCGCCATACTAGGGCTTCGCGCCGCCTTCGCGCGCTCACGGCTGGGGCATTCACAAATAACTCATCGATTGGACATCCGCATGCACGGCCATCGTGTTGCGAGTGCGTAGTTTGTACGCAAAAAGGAGTATAGACTGTCTCAATGAGACTGTCGCCCCAGCTTTGGGTCCGCGCGGCCGTTTCGCTCTAATCTTGTCGCGCGTTCGCGAACGTAAGCTTTGCGCGTTTTGTACGCTTCCCCAGCTTTGAGAGATCGAGAGCTGCCGAGGCGTAAGAAAATGCATAAAGAGTACGTTCGCGCACGAGATACCAGGCCGAGCAAGGCAGCCGTCAAGGACGGAACCGGGGGAGCTGTGACACCCTTACTGAGACAGCCTCATGTTTGGAGTAGGTACATGTTTGGGAATAGTCGATTACAGTTAGATGACTGCAGCCCGCTTTGAGTTCCCTGTAATAGCCAGTGGAAGTCCCAATTGTGCAGGTTTGGCTGGACACTGCTTTCATGACGTCGCTTTGCAGTGCAGGCGCAGATTGCACCCATGCCTCAAATAGAGATTGAGTTTTTCATGTCATCATGATTACCAGGAGTTTTGATTTCCGCAGTATTGAGTGCCCAAACTTGGCTGTTCAATTTCAGTCTCCAACTTTTCCTTCATTCACAATGTCATGCAAACTCCTGCACAGGTTGTAAGGGATGGCGATCGCCTTATTGTGGATGTTGCTTCAGGAAGTCCCGTCTGCTGGGTACGAACCAGATCGTTCAGTAAAATTCTCAGAATTGGTAGTCCAAACCTTTACTTTCTAGGATGATATCGGCCTTCCACTTGAGTGCTTGCTACCAAATAAGGGCTGGACACAAGTGGGACTTCTTCACTCCGTGATAAGAAATGTATCATGTTTCAACTTTTCTGAAAGAATCGTAAGCATGCCTTAGCGTTCTTTAGGTAGACAATCGGACCAACTCAACGCTCACGGACTGCGATGATATCAGGGTATCTTACATAATTGCGTTGTGTTCACTTCATCAAGTTTTACAGTCTTTTTCAAAAAAAAACCGCTACTGAGAAATTTGTAGCGGACAATGCACAAAGTCCAGCGGTGCGACTTTTCGATTGCTGATAAAACGCACAGTTTGTTTCGTTCCACTTTGAGCCTAAATTTGGATGACGCGCATCCGCTTCGCAGCGGTTTGTGCCGCCCGCGCTGGCGACTGTCTCATAGCTCACAAAGCCTTCAGCGAAGCGGATGCGCTGCTCCTCATGAAATGCTTTGGCCTACACCTCGGAACAGACTGTAGACCGCTCGTGAGCGAACATCCAACAGGCAAAAAAATGTAACCATGTCGCTGCTGCTTTCTGCATTGTGTCTACGGTGTGCAGTCTGTAATTGCCATTCTATTTTCTTTTGTAACATCGTTTTCAACTCTGCTCTATGATTTTCGTAACTAGTTTTACTCCCTACCCAACAAACCTCATTTAGGTTCTCGTTTTTGCCACATTTTCTGACGACACGCTGCCAACTATGCTGGAGAATCATGCTGTGCAGATGTTTGTGACTACAAAACGTTGCTTCACACAAGCACCAGTGGAGACTACAGAACGCGAGCTTATCGATGAAGAAGCACAGACCAGCGATGAATAAAAGCATTCTTTGATTGTCTGGATTTTTTTTTTGCTACGCAAGTTTCATTCTTGAACGTACTTGATGACCTTTGTTTTCCTTGTGTTGCAGCATCTGTGAAATAAGTAATCTGTTTTTGAAAATAGTGCTCCGTCATTGAAGCAAGAAGAAACCAAGGAGGCATCCTTTGCTCAAGCAAAAGATCAGATTTTTTTCCTCTATGCGGAAATTTCCCGAGCCTTCGAGCAAGAAATGACGTGACATGGTAGACATATCTTTGGGGAAAAACCCAACTTTTTGTGCTCCACATTTTTTGGAACAAACAAAGCATGCGCTAAAAGTTTACTTGTTAGTAGTTTTGAAGCGTTACGTGAGATAGCTGGGTGATATAATGAGTAGATCATCATGGGTTAGGATGTTAATATATTTTCCAAATTTGTATTGTAGAATTTCGATAAATTCCATGAGAGAAGAATTGCGTTCTAGAAAGCCTAATATGAGTGTAAGAGTTAGGAAGCTTGCATGTTTTAAAGTACTTTTTCTGCATAACAGATTCGGAAGGTCATCTATGCTCCCTCATACTATCTTTTCTATCTATACCAATTTCTAGTGTATGTCAAAAATAGTTGTGCTTTGACATTGCAAGGGTCACGACATTGTTCCAGATCTTGAATCTGTGCAGCTTGTCTCTGAATTAATTATTGTTGAAAAAAAAAACGTTGCGGCTACATCCGCTGTCTTTGACGAAACTACCGGAGTAAGCAAATTAAAATTTTTGGCGTTCATACCTGCGTCATTTTCATAAGAAACTGATAGGCGCGAATTGTGCTGTAGGTGTACTGTATCAGCTGAGTGCGTAGTTATTGGTCTTCTGAGGCGTTTTGATTAGAATGGGGCAAATTTACGGGTTCTAGATAGTAAAATTGTACTAAAAAAGAAAAAATGTACTGTATAACTAAAATTGTACTAAATTTTATTGAGAATGAGCTGTGTTTTCGGGGGAGTGAGTTGAAAGAAATCAGTATTGACTCTTGTTAAATTTTCATTTTTTTCAAAGATGTGTTTAGATGAATTATTGGCGCAATTGTTCTCATGTCGAGATTTATCTACCCGGAACATGAAGCGCCGATTCGTAAACTTTCTGGACACACGTGATTTTAGCATCGGAATGCTCGGCGTTGAGCAGATCTTGCGCAACATTTGTTGTCTCTGTTACAAATCGGATATTACAAACCTCGAGGGGCACAGAATATGCGAAAGAGGTGTTAAACACCGCACATTACACACACATGGTGATCTTGCTCTAGTGACAGCTTGCCAGTGCAGATGAGAGATTATTCTTGAGAACAAGGAGTCGAGAATCAAGTTTCGTTCAATGGATGCTCTCTCTCTCCAAAGTTCGAATTTATTCGACGTTGAGCAGTGAGAGTGGAAAGGGCCACAGGCAGGCGCCATTTTTGAAAAAAAAATTCAAATTCAAAAGAAGGCTAAGGAAATGCTGCTAAAGTAGCAGCTTAGAATCGCAGGTGAAAACAGTCCTAGAAATTCAAAAATTATCACTACTTGGATGGATTTGGGGTTCGCCGTTCGGCCGTCGCTCCGCCCATGTCAGTAATCGCTGCTTGTCCGGTCGTGCGCGGTCCCCATGTGGCTAGCTATAATCTTTCTGTACTTCGCTGTATGGAGAGCAGAAGCAGGTAAACAAAAAACCTTAATCGAATTCCTCCCCCTTCTCCCTAACCCAATTTATTTTGTGCTCGGAACTTGTTCTTACATATTTTTGACATATACTTGTAATGAGGCTTGCTGTTCTAAAACGGTGTACTTTCAAGCAAACATGTCAGACTTATTGAAAACTTATATCAACACAAGGAGATAAATTTAATCTTACGTTGCTCCATCTAAACGTAGTTGGCTTTTGCTTCGGTTACCGTATCATGCACCAGCTTAGTACGATATCCCGCAGCCCTTTAGGAGATATTGGGGTAATTTGCCATCTTTGTCTGTGTCCATCCCTATAAGTTACAAAATCCTTGCAATTATCTCATTGCTCTTGCGTGAGCATTCAGCGTAGTATCATGTGAAGTCATGTATAGAATTATATAATATGCAAATTAACCGAAAAAATCTCTTTGCCTGAAATAAAATTCTGATCATTTTCAGAAAATGATCTTTCTTGGTGATTCGAGGGGTTGTACCAAGTTTCCCGTGTCTTTTCTTTTTTGTAATTTACGTGGGTAACCATTAGGTTAAGTCTTGCAGTCTCTCATTGAGTCTTGCACCACGATCTTTGAAAATCGCAAGTATATATGCTTTTAACGAATTTGTTTAGTACAACTTGGACAGAAAACATCATAAGCTACTTGATAGTACTTGAAAAGATCCATATTGGAATATGACGGTGACAAGCCCATTAAGAGAAACACTCAAGTAATTTTTTGACATCTCTCAAAATGCTGAAAGGTATAGAGAGTCCAATTTTATTTTTGATCATGGCTCTACGATTTATTCTTTTGAACTGCGAGAAATTTTTGACAACTGGATGTTTCTATTACACTAATAATTGTGATTGCCGACATTTCTAACTCGAGAATGTAATTCTGTTTGGAATGAAATTTCTAATACGCATAATTACATGGCGCACTTGTTGTATGGTTCAAATAATAATAAAACAAAAAAAACAAACAAACAACCACAAACATAAACAAATGAATATAACATGAAACGTCGTTTGAGCAGGGCCCATGGAGCAGCCTAATGAAAGTGAAACTTATAATTTTCGAATAAATGCACTTGATGCAGTGCTCAATTTGGTAGGTTCCTCTTTCTTTCCTGTCCCAAAATTCTTAAAGAATTTCATCGCGCATTTAAGTTCCTCAATTTTCCCCTTATTGCTTTAGAACTATCATTCTAAGAGAAAAATCATTTCAACGTAGTTCTTTTGAACGTGTCTTGTGCACATGTGCTGATGGAGGGTTTCTTACACAATGAGGTCATCAAAATTATGCTTTTAGCTAATGACGAGCAAATCGAATTTGAGTTCCCCTTAGAATCTTGTGTAATTTGACAAATAGTTGATCCAAACATGATTCTCACATCAAGCAGTCTTCTCAGGAGTTTTTTTTTCGTAATTTCAATGATTTTTCATAATTCTATCAGATAGTACTGAACGCTTTACACACCAAACTCCGAGACTTGAGTAATTAAAAAACTTGGATGATGCTTTCAGGTCGTGTAACCGTTTCGAAGACAGGTCATATAGCCAAACTAGACGAGCTATGTGCTCGAATGCACAACAACACAGCTCTAGAGGGAGTAGATCCCGTAGATATGCTTCAGGTAGGTCAAATTCATCTACAGCAACCTTATCTTCAGAGATGAAGTGAATGTTTTACAGTTCGAGTTTTTAGGCGAACGCTGTAGAATGTCAAAGGAGTTGCGTCGATATGTACCCATTTTGTACTGCAGGTTGGAACTTATATTCTGTTCCTTATGTTATCATTCCGATTTAATATTTTTGTTCTTTGATTCGAAACAATCTTATCTTTTGCACTAGAAAGTACTGACACAAAATTAATGATATATGCTATGTGATCATCATTATTCAAATGCTAAAGTGCCCTTTGATTTTGATTGCAAGCTGGACACGCCATCATTCCATGAATATTTCAACTGAAGCCTGATCTTTGATATTCTGCATCCAGTGAAGGTCGATCATTACTGAGATAAAGCCTCATTTGAACGTCATAAACGAGTTCTGTTGCCCTCTCTCTTGCTTTCCCAAACCTGACAGCGACAACTGGCACAGAACGGAATGCAGCACCTGAGGCAACGCAGATTTTACTGATGTATCGAACAAAAACTTTGTGATTTCCACCTTGGCGAAAATTTTTTGGGTGGTTTTTTTTTCGAGTTGTAGTACTTTGATAACAGACTTCCACCACGAAAGAAATATTAGGTTGCTCCGAAAGTTTTGTTGTTTTTTTTCTCAAACGACTATAGAACAAGATAAATAGAGACCTAGACGATTTTCAACATGCATTCGATGCAGCTTCTCCTTCTCTTTGAGTTTACTTTCGGTTCAAAACCTTTTATAAGCATGATAGTTGCCAAAACTCATTATCCGTCATTTCCATCTATTCAAAATTCGGCTAATTTCAAAAAATGCATTCCAGTGTTTTGGAAATGATTTAGTATGTGGTAAATGGAGCAAATTTGGACTATACGGTGGTATTTTTAGATCCTTATTTGCTGAGTTTAGCTCTGAAAAATTATTTTTCGGTGATCTCTATTTTCAATAAAGTCAGGAAATGTGCAAACGCAGCAGAAACATGAAAGCTTCTGAAGTTTCTGCGAATGGAAATTTTGTTATTACTGAACATCATTTGTGCAACATAATCAAGCTTGATTTGCTTTGAAGAACAGCTTAGAAATTTCCGGTGTCCTCTGCGCTAGCGGTTTTTCGAAGAAATAATTGTTACAGACTAGATAAACGTGAATTCTGTAATCTGAAATGAGTGTAATGTAGCTAAAGGTTGCTCTACATAACAGCTACCAGTGCTCTTCGAGAATACTGGAATAAGTTTTTTAATCTGAGAAGTTTTTTAGTTACCGGTGAGCTGCTTAAAGAGCCATGGAGCCATGGCGATACCATCGCAGTGACAGCACAGATCAAAGAAAAAATGTAACTATAAGAAAAAGTCTTAATCGAACCATACCTAAGTCGTTTATCGATCGGTGTCCTGTGAGTTTAGTGACCAATGAAAGAAACCGACAAAACTCTCGACAACTTAATAGTTCATTTTTTCACACTTTACTAATGCATAGTCCGTGATATCCAGGGAATGGACATTGATACTTATTTTTGTAGTAGTATTGATTACATTAATCTTTGCAGGTTTAAAAAAACCTCTAAATATTTATATGATAATATTTATATGATAGTCCGGGAAGTTTTCTTTCTGGATTTATCACAAACCAAAATTTTCCTAGTACCTCCGTGCCAAAATTCCTACCCATGATATCTCTCTGCTAAGAAATCCACTAATTCGTAGAATCTTTATTCTAAAACTTCAAAGTATTAGGTTGTCCGGAAATTAATGCCCGTTTTGAATTTCAACCGCAATAAGTCATACACTTCTCATTTCTAAATAGGATGCAAAGTATCATTCGATAGAGCAAAGCAAGCTCTACAAGATGACCATCTTGCTTTTGCAAAAGCTCGCATCCATCTCGAGTTCCGAGCCAAAAACTAAAAAGACTCAGCAGCCCGAAAAATCAAAAAAAAATCGTAACTCAGTTCATAAAAATCCTAAAAAATTTCTTACTTGCTCACGTAAACACTATCCACATAAAACATCTATATACGCCCTTGCCGTATTTTTTCCTCTGTTAGAAACCAAGAACACGGAAATTTTCGTGCATTTGCCAAAGTGATGCTGTGCCGTCCCCACATAGGTAGTTGTATGCCACATGCCTGTAGAAGTACAGACTTAAATTTTCAGCTCTCTACAAGCTTTAGTTCTCGAGAAATACCGAATATAGCTTTCCCTAGTTAGGTGGTCGGAGCTAAAATTAATTTCTCGAGAACTAAAGCTTGTAGAGAGCTGAAAATTTAAGTCTGTACTTCTACAGGCATGTGGCATACAACTACCTATGTGGGGACGGCACAGCATCACTTTGGCAAATGCACGAAAATTTCCGTTTTCTTGGTTTCTAACAGAGGAAAAAATACGGCAAGGGCGTATATAGATGTTTTATGTGGATAGTGTTTACGTGAGCAAGTAAGAAATTTTTTAGGATTTTTATGAACTGAGTTACGATTTTTTTTGCTTTTTCGGGCTGCTGAGTCTTTTTAGTTTTTGGCTCGGAACTCGAGATGGATGCGAGTTTTTGCAAAAGAAAGATGGTCATCTTGTAGAGCTTGCTTTGCTCTATCGAATGATACTTTGCATCCTATTTAGAAATGAGAAGTGTATGACTTATTGCGGTTGAAATTCAAAACGGGCATTAATTTCCGGACGACCTAATAGTATATGCTGCAGAGAAAGTCTGGAGCTGTACGAGACTATTTTTTGATTCTTCCAATCTGCTTTCTGGCATTTTACAAAGTCATTTTTTCATCTTTTGGTATATATGAACTAACAAAAGTTTGGGACATTTTCCCTGCAGTTTGCTTATTTTCAAAATTATAGCTCTGAACTAACAGAAATACAACGAAAAATAGTTCGGAAATACTGGCCACTGAAAAGCTGTTAATGGGCCTTTGCTATTGAGCAGCTAAAGTTCAAGCACCCCTTACCTTTTTCTGACAGGAAATAAGGAGTTTATTTAATAGTTCATGGATGAGTCCACGTTTTTTTTTCATGGGAATGCCCAAAGATGTTAAGTTACTCTTCAAATCACTTTCTCAAAAGCTATAGCTTTTTACAAGTTTCTACTTTTTCTTCATTTTGTTTCTCAGGAACCTTGCATCAGCTTTTTGTACTAACCAGTGGCGGTCCCAGGATTTCATTTCAGAGGGAGGGGGGGGGGGGGGGGAGGGAACGAAAACGTTTTTGAACGGATGTGCACCCGAAAAAAAAATTTCGGGGTGCTTCCCAAATTTTTTGCTGGCCCATGGCGGCAGCCACGACCCCGAAGAAAATTTTTTATAGGGCTAAAATGATTTTGAAAATTTCCAAAGATTATTCAATTATTAAAATTATGAGGAAGTGAGCACAGTTCAATTCAAGTAACTTTTGAATTTCGCAACCCATTCTTATGCCTCCCCCCCTCTGTCCGCCACTGGTGCTAACTATGCTTAGTCCTCTCCACTCAATGAATTATGAATTTTCATAATCTTTTCTTCATATGCAACAACTTCTTTTTTAGCCAATTTCAATAATAAATTTTGATCAAAGAGTAAATTCAATTCCTTGTGATTATGAAGTGAAAATTCTCTGCAAGGAAATATCTTTGCCTTTCTTCATGAACCCAAAATCAAATCAAATGCGACTTCTTTTCTGCCCAACGTGATGACCTTTTGTTTGAAAGATCGAGATAAAAAATTTTAGAGCCCTGGCAAGCATTCATTTCCCGTTTTTCCTTCTTTAGATAACCAGTCCAGTGGGATCCGCGGCAGTCAAGCATCGAAGTGGCTAGGTGCAACTATAACTGAGTAAAAAAGGAAAGTTGACGCACATACTTTGAGGGAACTAGTTTGGAAAATCATAATAATGAAACATGCTTTTGAATCAAATTTTTGGCTGGGATCGCGATGATACACGCGCCTTTCCCGAACTAATGTATTAGTTTGTGTCAGAACTATTGCAGGTTTTCCAAATTTTGAGTTTGAATTACTATAACTTTTTATAGAAATAGTCAATCCGTTTCCAAATTACTGCAATCAGCAAACCTTTGGCAATTTAACACGCACTACCTTATCATTGCAGCTCTACTGAGAAACATTTCATAGCCCGAAGACTGCCCAAAGTTTCCTTGAAAAACCTTCCGTTTGAGAGACCATAGCTCCCTATACAATGTAGTAGAATGGTATAAACTTCATTCACTGTGCAGATAATAGTCGATTCTGCAGCAGCGTTGAAGTTGATTTTTAGAAAAAGCTAGCCAGCTGGAAAAATGCGATAAAGTGTTTCACGTTGCCAAAGCTTTGCTCTATCTTCTGGGTATCAAAATTTTGAGAGTTTTTGGAAATTCCCTTGAAATAATCTAGAACAGAACCAAGTTGATACAGTAAGCTAGAAACACATGTATCTTAGCGCTTGTCGGGAGCATAATCTCATAAGCTAGCAAGCAAGGTAGCATAGCAAGAAAAAGGAAGTAATTCTGCATTTCAAATAGTGCCTTTGATTATCTTTTCTTGAATTTGAGGAGAGCGTAAAAAAGGCTAAACATCATTATTCGAAAATTTTTATTTACAGTTTTGTCAAATAGAAATCCTGTGATCTGTACAAAACACAATCTATGCATCAAGCGCATCGGACTACAGAAAAATCTATCTCGAAACAAAACCGAGATATTTTCTCTGAAATTCAATCAAGAATGATTCCGTCAAATTCTTGTGTAGTGAAATGATCTACAAAAATTTCATTTTCTAGTGGTATACTACTACTTGCATGATGAAGCTCAAAAGCACAATTGCTACCTCTTCGAGCACAATTCACTTCATGAAAAGGTACTAGTTTCTGTTTAGAGCGGTATAAGTAATTCGTGCCGACGTTTTCAGGCAAAACTCGTAAAGCAAAATCCCGAACACGAAGATGATGTGGTGCGCATGTTAGAACTTGCACCAAACTGTCACAAATTTGATAGTTTTCCACCATTGGAAGAGGATGAGCTGGTGACGTCAACAGATAAAGTAGACCGTAAGAAACGACGTAAGTTTTTTTTTTCAAAAGTACGCTTTTTATATTTTATTGTTATAAAATTTACGCAACAAGGTCGGATATCTTAATTTTGATTCTTGATTACCCTTATTATAATCTTCAGTTGTGATGAAAAAGTCGTGTGCTTATTTCACATTTCTTACACTGATACTTTACCGTAGCAGAATGTGCCAAGCCCCTCCAGTGTCCAGAGTCTTCCCATGTGCCAGCGCTGTGTCAACGCTGTGTCAGGGTCATACCGGAACCCACCTGTACGCGGCGTATTGATCGCTCCGGGACGGTGTAGAAGGCGCTGGCACGGGCAATTCTAGATGTAGCCTCAGAATTTTTGCTGGTTTTGCCCAATATAAGCATTTTTGCGTAAAATCACGAAACTGACCATTTGCAGAGAATGCCAACGATACCGTGGTTCTAGGCGTCGGTGATTGGACGGATTGGTCAAGCTGTACAAAAAACGGCAGTTATTGAATTCCTTGAAGGCCGTGGTATGACAAATACAAGTAAACAATGTTATTTTAGGATTCGAGAGCCGCTCTCAAGCTTGCGAATACGGTAGAAAAATACAACGTCGTGGTTGTCCTGCACGGCAACCGCTTCAACATTTCTCGCCTGTGCCCGAACCAACTTTGACACATCCTCAACCGTTTTCTCGTCCTGACCAGTATAGGATGGATTCTCGGTTGCAGTTGAATGAAGATTCTCGGATGCATGCGGGTCCCGAGCCTCCACAGGTGGAGCGGCACCCGTATTCTCGAAATGAGTCACCTCGAGCACAATCACAACCATTTTCACGACCTGGAGCGGAGCGAAATGAACCAAACATAAATCACCTGAATCAGTCGCCTTATGACGAATATGCTAGGCGTTATTTAGAGAGGTGAGCTTTAGGTAGCGTCTAGAAGTTACCCATGCATCAGTATTGTGCCGTTCCGTTCCAGCGTCGTGCTGGCGCCGTGCCGTCGAAGCATACTTTATTAACGGTCGTTGCTGTAAACGGCGCTAGCATGGCGCTGGCTTGGCGCTGCCACAGACGACCCCAAACATCGCCTTATCATAATATAAATTGTAGAGTAAAAAAGGCAGTATGGATTTTGTCCAGTCTTTCCAGAAGCAGTAGCTCGGAAAATTTTCAATCTTGGATTTTTGCATCACTCTTAAATCCCGTAGTAGCTTAGTCTATGAGTCTGTTACTGTGCTTCACAGCTTCTAACATTATGAAGAAAGCATTTTGATTTTTCTTTACGAAGAATTACTGCGTGATCAAGAAGCGGCCACTCAACCAATCGCCGCCCAGAACCCATCTAAGCGGCGATTGGATGTCTGGCTGCCCGCATCACACCCATTCGCTATTCCTCACGACCGAAAAGCGACTTTTTGGCATCTCCAAAAATTGCGAAGCACTTTATTTTGGACTAAGAGACTTCGAGTCGTTTAACATAGGTCTGACAGTTTTGAGCTGGAAGAAAAACTAGAAGATTCCGAAAGCGCTGCAATTTTTACAAAATCTCTCACAGGCTAGCTCAACAACGCATACCTCAACGACATGCTGCTTTACCCTTTGCTCAGCCGTGCGCACAAGGTATCTGTCCATCCCCCGAATCTGTTCAACCTCCGCAGCCCACACCGCCTCTGCAGCTCCCCACTCCTCCTGCTCAATCTGGACTGCGAGAGTTCATTCGTCCGCAGGTAAAAGTGATAGTCATGCAAAGCTGAAATACCCTTCGTCTTAGAAATAGTGTCGCCTTCTCCTGCGCCTCGTTCTGTGCGGCTGCTTCGCTCCGATTATACGCCACCTCTGCTATCTTCTCTGTTGGGCCCTCCAGCCTTTCAAAAGCCGCTCGGGCGTGGGAAAATGTCCAGAGAATACGCAGACGCAGCGCAGGGTCCAAGCGAGGCGCCGCGCAAGAGACAAAACCGTACGAGCCAGCGGCACTGTCACTGAGACAGGGGGCAGTCGCAGGATCACAATTTGATCATAAGACCAATTCTTCAGGTAGAAGTGCGAGAACCACCACGATATCGGCCAGCACCGCCTCCACCTCCTGCTTGTCACGGCGAGGGATGCTTGCCTCGTTCATCTCCAGGTCTGCGGTTTGCCAACTGAAGTGGCAATCTGTGTGGGCTCCTCTGACAGGGGGGATTGAGAGGGAGCGCCGAAGCATGAAAAGAAAAAGAAAAAACTATTTTTAGCTCAACCTTCAGGTGTTTGGTACGATTGGTCTGATTGGTCTGCTTGTTCATGCACTTGCGGAGAAGGCATGAAGCAAAGGCGAAGGGAATGTATGGGCAACAATTGTCAGGTATCTTTTAAGAGCTTCACTTTTGGTAGAGGACAATATTTTGCCGATAGGCCCATACGCGCGGACAGTTGAAAAGCGATAACGTAGGGTCCCGTCATACTTCGCCGAGAAAAGCCCAGAAGCGCCCAAAAAAGCCCGAAAAACCCCAAAAGCGCCAGAAAGAGCCGGAACGCAGAAAAAACTTTCGGTAGAATTCTGACATTATTTTGATGTGCAGGTGACAAAAAATGAACCAAAAAGACTCAATTCCGAAATCAGCACACACGCCTTAGCGCCAAAACGTGCGCGCGGAAGGGGGCGTTCCGGCTCTTTCTGGCGCTTTTGGGCTTTTCTGGGCTTTTTTTAGCGCTTTTGGGCTTTTCTCGGCGAAGTATGACGGGTTCCGTAGAGATGTGCGTACTTCTTGCAGATTTCCGCGCGACCTCCTAGGCGTCCTAATGTCTTTTATTCACTCGTTTACTTCTCCTTGTGTACGCAAGTGTCGTGAGCAGTGTATACACTATTTTCACCACTAAAACTTGATACCCCCAACGTGTCCTGATCAGAACTATGTTTCCACCAGGGACCTGATTATGACACTGCTCCTTGCGACATGGGACCATGTGAGACATGGTCGGAATGGTGCGAATGGTCGACATGCAGCGGAAGTTGCGGACGAGGAGAACGACAACGTACGAGATTTTGCCTTCTGGGCACCCAACGTTGTGAGGGAAAAGATTTTGAGGTGATCTTACTGCGGATATCACGATGTCATAGCTTTTCGCTACTGGCTAGCTTCAATTATCTAGCATGTTCCAGATGGAAACATGCGATGCTGGACCATGTCCCGAATGGGCCAATTGGGAAGAGTGGGGTAGATGCTCAGCAAGCTGTGGATCTGGAGTCGCACGAAGACAGAGAACATGCTTAGGGGGAGACCAACAGGGTTCATGTCCAGGTTAGTGTCTAAAACTGCGAGCGTAATCGTCTTTAATTTTGCGTCCAGCTTGTACGCGCGTAAGATCCGTGGGAACCTCAGCGTTCATGTGGACGCGACCCGTATTGATAGATCAGCGGCGCTGGAACGTTGCGCACGGCGCTGGCATAGGCAACTGTAGAAGCAGCCTCAAGGGTCCCAACACTGCACGCACAGTGATACAGCCTGTAAATCGTGTATTCCCTTTTCGATGGAAGCCATTGCCGCGCTAAAGCTTTGTGCTACGTTCGCGCGCGTACTCACGGCCACTGGAATTGGCCTCACCGACTGGAGGCCCGCAAGCAAGGCCTTGCCTTGCGGTTGCGTAGTTTTTAAGCAAAAGCTAGGACGTGAATGAAGTGGTTATTGGTTATCCTTATATTGCCCCCCCCCCCCTAAAAAAGTAATGTTGTTGAAGGACTAGCGAAATGATATGAACATTGATTGTAACAACTGTTTAAAATCGATTATTTCCCAATTTTCCACTAATCATCTTTTCAATCAAAGGTTACCTTTTTGCCTCCATAGTATAAACCTTCAACCATGAAGAAAGGGTCATGAAGTGTTGCAGCGGAGTCGAATGAATGTATTTATCACAGTATCCGGAAAGGTTGAGATTTCAACATTTTTTTTTGCTTGAACAATTTTTGGTGCCAAATAGAGAGCTTAGTGCTATAACTGCTCAAGTTGCATCACTCCATTCTGTCCAACGTACTTCAAAGTTAATTGTTTGATGGGCCAAAACCGGAGAAAGCTTCCGATTATACTGGTACCAGTTCATCGCCTAAGGCCCCGGGCAGAGTTCACGCGATTTGATCGTCGCGATTGATCGCGACAAGATAATTATAACAATATCATTGCAGCCGATCTTCTTGCATTTCGGTTGTGATAGTTCTCCAACACGAGTACTCGTGACTAACTAACACAACCAAAATACAATAAGATCGGCATGCAATGAATTCGTAACACTTGTCTTGTAGCGACTGAATCGCGACGATCAAATCGCGTGAACTCTGTCCGAGGCCTAAAGGTTGACTGCGTGACAAATTAATGGATCCGAGCGAAGACATGTTATATATGTAGAATTGCTATAGCTGTGACATTGAAGCAGTTTGTAGCATGTGGGTCATAAGAAAAAGTTCCAAGACAAGCCAGGCATACAAAAAGGTATCAGTCTGTTCTCAAGGGTTTTAGTTAGGGCAAATTCAATCCCTGCAGGGTCAGAGCAAGGAGTTCAAGGAGTTATTATATTATATTATTATATTGTTATTATATTCAAGGAGTTCCTTAATATGCTTTTGAATAAAGAAATAGCTTCTTACTTAGGTACCATAACGGCACCGTAACCTGCAAGCACCTCTACTGCGGGCATAGGCCACCGAGGTGCCTGCATGGCACGATACCGCATAGGCTGTGAACATCACCACTACGGTTCTGAATCCGGTGAACTGTCCTCCAAGTTCCAAGCCTGAAGGTCCTTACGTGTTACGGCGTATAGCTTACGTGTTCATCGAGTACTTTCCCCTAACATATCAACAGGAACTAACATGTTATTGAGGTCACACGACACAGCACTGCCTCTCTTGTTCCTGACAGGTCTAACATGTACATGACTGAGCGACATTAAACAGAAAACGCAGCTAAGTGGACTAATGTAAAATAACAATAAACTTTTGATATATACTACCCCCCCCCTCCCCCGACTATAAGCGCACTGTCTTCCAGCGACCACAGCACATCCACATGATCTCTTAAAAGTAGTTATACACCGTCCAAACATTGAAGAATCCAACAGTTCAGTGTAATGGGGGATCTTCGGGTATCGTTTTGTAGAGCCTTCAGCTTAGATATGCATTGGAACGAATCATCGGTCGTTCTTCTTTTGTAAGATTACGGTAGAAGCTTTCTTGCACTTTACCGCCTATATATTAGGTTAATGCACAATTCCTGCACCAAAAAGGTACAGACCGCATTAATCCGGGATCATCCTATATTCCAAATAGGGTTCGATATACCATTGGATAGAGCAAACCTAGCTCTACAAGATAGTGCTCAAAGATTTGCAGAGGCTTGGATCTACGCGAAGTTTTGAGCCGAAAACTGAAAAAAACCATGCGTTCGAAAACCTCAAGACCAATCAAAACAAAAATCTTCGTTCAAAAATTTCCTACAAAATTTCTTTCTTGCTCACGCGTAGACATTCCACGTAAGACATTCATCTATGCGATCGCTGTATTTTTTTCTCAGCTAGACTATGAGAAAACGAATTTTTCATGTTTTTGCCAAATTAGTGCTGAGATGTTGTAGCACTAACAATTGTATAGTACAGGCCGTTAGCAGTGCAACTTTACATTTTCAGCCGTCTAGAACAGCTAGTTCACGAGAAATGATGAATCTAGCTCTCCTTATCCGAATTTTTCTTGCCTAGTTGCTTAAAATTCGGTATTTTTCGTAAACCAGCTGCTGTAAAAAGCTGAAAATTCACACTCATGCTTCTAAGGTCCTGCAGTACACAGTTCAGTGCTACAACATCTCAGCAATGTTGAAAAAACTTCGTTTTCTCAACTTCTAGCTGAGAGAAAAATACAGCAACTGCATAAGGAAATGTCTTATACGAAATGACAATGCATGAGCAAGTCAGGAATTTTGAAATTCTGAACGACTTCCATATTTTTCTTGGTTTATTGGGGCGCTTGGATCTTTTTCGTTTTTGGCTTCAATCTTCGCTTGGATCAAAGCTGCTACAAATCTTTGAGCACTATCTTGTAGAGCTAGGTTTGCTCTATCTAACGATATATCGATCCCTATTTGGTATATAGGATTATCCCGGATTATTGCGGTTTGTACCTATTTTGGTGCAGGAATTATGATGCATCAACCTAATAAATTAGCTGCCTTTTTTTTTTGTTTGAAGAAATTTGAAAAGGACTTTGAAGAAGTAAGCTCGTCGACGTTGTCTTCATCAAAAACAAAAGCAAGTTCAAGTTGAGTTCACGAAAAAAAATTGCGTTAAAGAAACTAAACTGAAGATAAAATATTAGGTTGGCTAATAAATAAGTTCGGTCGCTTTTTCAGCTCTTACAAATGCTGTAAACAAATTTTTGTCCAATGTTTGGTATCTTTGAAAAGAGCACTTCACTGGGTATTGGAGCATATATTCTGTTCGAGTAAAACTTATCTTCCCAGGAAAAAAATCCGCAAAAAAGTGAAAAATCGCAATTTTCCCATAATGCGCAAATATGAGGAAATTTGGTATTTATAGTGAAACATTTGCAAAATGGCAGATCACAATTCTTTTTGTTGTTCACTAAATAGGGATAACTCCTCTGTATCCAAACACCAAACTGCTGTTCTTTACATCCATTACAGCATGAAAACGAAGCTCAAGAAATCAAAGAATTGAGCTTCTGGAAATTTCGCCATGTTGAGGCATAACTGCCCTTACTGACAATAGAAAATCCTGATCATTATATATGTGATAGAGGAAACTTCGAACTACTTTTCCACAAAGAATCATTGACTGAAAAGAACAAGAAAATTTTTTATGACAATTTGTATGCTAAAACGAACTTGCTTTTTAGCCAACCATAGAAGGATTTTATATATAGGTTTTGCCAGATTTCGTTCCCAAGAAAAGGAGTTTGGCGACGTTTTAATGTATCAGTAGTGATCAAGAGCTACAAGATGATAAACACTTTGCTCTTGGGTTTAAAATAACGAAGAAAGGATACCAGAGACAAATGCCAGTGGAGCGCGTGTAGCGAGACAGCGCGCGATAACTGGAGGCGCAGACGAGCAAAGCGAAAAAGCAGAGACGGGGCATTCAGCTTTCGTCTATCTTTGCGAAGTCACAAAGAAACCCCACAATATCCTATATCAATCTATTCGCCATCCTACGTCAAAAATCACCTTTAACGAGAAAACGAGGAAGCTTTTTACGCAAGCTTTGACGATCTTTCTATGGTTTGTGAATTATTGGAGCTCGTTCGTAGTTCAAGGTTTGTTGCCATTTTGATCGAGATTTTCACAGCAAATTTTGTTTTTAGCACGAAAGGGCTATAATGAAAGCAGATGGTGGTCAGACTTCGCTATTAGCGAATGACTGATATCAAACTTTAGGTCCAAGCACTGAAGAACGCCCGTGTGAGGAGTTGCCGTGCTCAACTTGGTCACCATGGCAGGACTGGGGTTCATGCACTGTATCATGCGGACATGGTATCAAGCGTAGACAACGAGTATGTCAGTACGGTACAGACTGTCCTGGACCTGCTGAGGTAATGTTTATTCTGCGACATTTTCATTTTACCAAAATATTCGTTCGTTCAGGAAACAGAGCCATGCTTCAGTCACGCCTGTGCCACTTGGACACAATGGACTGACTGGTCCGATTGTACTTCGCAGTGTGGTCCGGGACAGCGCTCGCGGAAGCGGTCTTGTCGTTCATTTGATGGTGCCGAGAGTAAAGACTGCCCAGGAGCACCAGTTGTAAGGTTTTTCTGAAATGTTGAACGACAATGTTTATGTAATGTCATTTTTCTTTTCGCTTTTTATTTCACACATGACTTCATCAAATAGTAGATTAGATAGAGCCAAATCTTCATTCGATCATGGAAGAAAGGCATAGCTGTAAAATTGAGAGTGTCAAAGCTCTTGTTGGCCTTGTTCTCGCGACTGCCTGGCTCGGGCCGTGTATCGCGTTTGAGGACGTATTCTGGGCACTCATCCACTCTTCAGCAGCGATGGCTGATAGCGTGAGAAAATGCCCAGAAAAAGTTTGCTGACGCAGCGCAAGATCCGAGCGAGGCGGCCCCAAAGACCTGAGCCTCTGAAGCGGTGACACGCTTGTTAAGACCTCGGGCATAGTTCACCCGATCTCATCGTCTCGCGATTCTCCCAACAAGGCAACAGTTACGGTTGCATGTCGATTATGCACTTCGGCTGTGGTTAGTCACGATTGGTGTCGGAGAACTATCACAACCGAAATGCAGGAGGATTGGTATACAATAGACTCGTACTTGTCTCGATGGGAGAATCGCGAGACGATAAAATCGCATGCCCTGTGACACCTGTGACACTGGTATTAGCACCTCATATCCTGTTTTTTTTTTTCAGTACCGAGTCCATGAATCTAGAATATCTGTTTGCATTGTTTCTGGCGCTGAAGCAACAAAATAATTAGAATGCACGTGTAGAGGGTGTCAATCCCGATGCCACTTGCGCGGACATCCGCTAGTGTCGCAGTGTTTCAGATGCATGGGTTGTCACAGATGTCCGCGTGGGCAAGGCCCATTAGCCACATAATGGGGTGTGGTGCGGAAGGCGACAAAACCCAGCGGAGGCGAGGGAACGATGGCCACGCCTCCCATTTGCCTGCTGTTTAGTGCTGGCCTCGAGTCAATTAGTCAGATTGACGCTCTTGTGGCGCATAGGCTGGCACCTGAATGGTGGCGGTGTCCTCTTCGACTACTCTGTTTTGTCCATAAGAGTTCGTTGTGTAAAATTGGTAGATGTGATCACTCAGTGTTAAGGAAAGTTATGTAACGCAAGTTGTAGACTCGTAGATTGTTTGCTGATAGCTAACTGATTGAGTGTGAGATTTGGCAGCGAAATTCGATTTCGGTCATCATCTAACTCACGCATATGATCAGTTGCCAGGTTCGTGTGGAGGTGTGTTGCAGACTTTGTTTGGTAACAAGGATAAACTTGTTGAACCTCCATGTTATAGCATTGCTTTTCGTACTCTCTCGCTAGCAAAAACCGCCCCGCTGTGAGATGGCAAGACTCCGCCTCCATACCTCTGCGAATCTGGAAGCCGATGACATTTCGATTAGCTTCTGCATTGAATAAGAATAACGGAATTGCATCAGTTCTATGCAGTTATGTAGCTATCATTCGGATAGAGATGAATCAAACACAATAAATGCTGCAAAGCAGTTTTCTTTCGAGTCTCAAAGTAAGAAGAATCCTCATTTTCAGGCAAAATGTCAAATTCAATTTGTGTCCAGCCGGACCTCGAACCCAATATAGCCGCGATATCTTTCAGAATTTAGCCTTTGTCAATACTTAAGTTCATCTTATTTTTTCTGCTCACTATTCTTCGTTTGACAGGGCAGAAACAAAAACAACTTTATTCGCAACAAAATCGCACCAGATATAGGACAAAAAGAGAAAATGATAATATCACTCAGCAATGTAGAGTACAACTTCACCTCAAAAGCAAGAAATCCCTGTACAAAGTTTCCAAAGTACTTTTGTAAGTCTCTTTGTTCCACATAGTCATTATCGACAACGGTATCAGGGACCATTATGTATACAGAAATACTGCTCACAAGTCAATGAAGTCATGTTAAGTCTAACCATTTCTTCAAGAAAAGGCAAGAACCTAGGACCTTAGGATAGCTAAAATAAAAAACATATGAATACACAAAAGTTAAACTTAAGTAGAATTTGGTTTTGATAACTCGAGTGTAAGTAGCAGAGTTTACACAATGCTCACGTCAATGGCCCTTGAGCTCTCCTCTGTTCGATTGCACTTAGGCGTGAGATCCATCCTTCAAAAAAAAACGATCGGCGAAGTTCAAGCAGAACGAATGAGTGAGAGCTCTTACCTCATAAGTCCATAGCAATGGCGCACGAAGTTGAAAGCGATCTTCCTCGAATATCTCAACTAAAATGTAATGATTAAGTCGCGCAAACATTTTGATGATAACGAAAAGGCTAGCTAATAGGGGGAGGACATTCATAAGGTGATATCTAAATAAGAAAATGATGAAATGGAAAAGTAGAGTACAGAACACAAGAAAGGTCATAACTCTGATGAGTCAGGTGACGACTCCTCTTGCTCGCTTATATGTGCAACTACATGAAGGAACTCCCGCATCAAAGATACATCTCATACCCTATAAGCAGTATGTTCACACAAAAGGTGAAAAATATAGAACCGTAAAGGATAGACAAGAACAGAGACAAAAATGTATCACACAAGAACCGAAACATGTAGAAAGCGTGCAGACGCGCTCCAGTACAAAGATTGGAAGGACGAGTGTTGACGAGAACTCGGACAGGGCGTGGCCACTAGTCGTGCCTGTTCCAGGGCATTTGTCGCCTTCCGCGTGTTCCCCCACATAATGTGCTGTATTTCGAAGTTGCGAGATCTGATGCCTCCTAAATAATTTTTCAACAATGCACGAGTCATTTCTAGGAGACAACTTTGTGTGAAGGAACAACGTGTTGTCGTTGGTCGGATTGGTGTGCTTGGTCCAGCTGTGATCGAGAGTGTGGTATCGGTCACACTGTTCGTACAAGGGCTTGTGTTAATGGAGATGGTATGTTTATAGAGACAAATTTATTGTGCTTCCTCAAGCGTTTGCAAAGCAAATTCTGGCATTTTTTATGATACTTAAAGCCCGTCCCAATCGCGACAATGCCGCGGAATTGCAGCGTTAGGAATTTGCGCCGCATTTGCGCGCACAAAGCATTGGATAATCGAAGATATTAAGGAGGGAACGGAACAGAATTTGGCGCTACGGATGCGCATCATGCCAATTTTGGCCTGATCCAGCTTGGGACAGACTGTGTAGTGTGTGCCTTCGCCAGCTTCCCATAGGCACCACCGGGACACACACTACGTTATGTTTCAACTCAAATCAGGGTTCGCAACGGTTCGCACCATATTGCAGCGACAGTATATCACGTCCTGCTAGGACCCAATACCTGCATCTCGTTATTTCCTCCGATCACAGGCACAGAGCTAGCGGTATGCGCTCGCAAAGCCTTTGGCGAAGCGTACGCGCAGCTTTACACGAATTGCTTTCGCCTAAATCCGATTGAAACAGGGTGTAGCTCATGGTGTAGCTCACCTACCAAGGATAGTTGCCGCTTATGTGAAAGTGCATGGACTTGTGCTATGAACTTCTTTGCTGGACACCCATAGGCTATCACACTATACGTCACTATGGTCATATGATTTCTTTGCTTAGGAATGATCGACGCCGCCTGCCATTGTGAGGGTCCGGACCGCGAACAAAAGGAGTGCAATACACAACCCTGCGCTTTGCAGTGTTCTTGGACGCAGTGGTGTGCTTGGAGCGGGTGTAGTACAGCAAACCAGTGTGAGATCGGAATCCAAAGCAGGTAAGGTCCTTCTTCGAATTCCAATTTTTTTGTTCCGAAATACGTACTTTGAAGATCGCGGCAATGCGTGGGCGAGCCCGGTTGTCACTGTCTGGGCCTCGCCGAAGAGAATCAACAGTGTAGAGGACAAATTCCATGCTCAACAAATGCACCGCCATGTTAATCTAAGGCTTTTGAGCTTTACTATAGCATGCTAGAGTATAATTTGTAGAATTTTATTATAATAAAGTTTTATGACTTATTGCTGCCAACATGACAGTAAAAACAATGATGTGTTACCATCAAAAATAACTACACGAACAAGTACATCAAAAGTTTCGATTTGAACAGTTGCAATTTATAAATGCATTGCGAAACCCGGTACCGGTAGTTCATATCAACAGCCGCCTCTATAATTGCACTATATCTGAATTTGCTTTGGAAGCTGCTTATTCTACAGACCCATTTTGTATTTTGTGAAGGTTTTCTTTAATACCCTTTTGTACTTCTATGCTGCCTACTTAGGCGCTTGACTCTTCGCCACTGCCTTACTCTACAGTAGACTACGAAAAAAGCTGAAGTAGGATCTGAGATTATTTTTATGTTACTTGCTTGAATCTGGGGAGACTTTAGTGCGTATATGCTACACTTCCAAACTGAGCACCTCAGAGAGTGTCGAAATGGATAATCATGTTCTCAAAATCCCATGCACTATCATATGAAGGCTGTCAGGTTCAAAAGTATTTATATTTGTGACCCCTGTATAGGGTAATAGATCGAAAATGGTAAATATAGTGTTCTTAGGGTGCCGACATTGGTTAACAACATTTGCGCGTGAAGAAATTTCCAAACGACGCAAAACTCAAAAATGTTTTACTGCCATCTCTTGCACGTGCAAATTGCCGGCATGCAAGCATAGCATTTTCTTCACGCGTCAATGTTGTCGGCAACGTTGGTACGCAAGGACACTATGTTTACCGCCAGATTTACTAGCCTATGAAATCCTCAACCCAAACGTTGGTGTGCAAAATTTTTCATTTTCATGCGATAACAGATTTAAAAGTAGCTGTAAACGTGATTCAGTTTAGAAACTGAATACATTTCCCGCATTAAGTCGTCGTTTCCTCAATAATTTAGATAGGGATCGATAAGCATAGCAATTCAGTACTATTTATGTGTACCAAAAGTTCATATATCTGCCTTATTCAGTTCAGTTGCACTAACAAATCGATGAGGATTTTGCTTGTATAAAAACTACAGTATTTAATCTCCTCATAAAACAGACCGGATATTGATTAAATAGGTAAAAAGGTTCATTTTCTATGTGTTTGATCAATGTATCCAGCTTCATAATTTACTACTTTGAGTTACCCTTATAACTAATTAATCAGCTCTTGATTCATGTTATATTTTGCAAAGGTGATATTTGAAATTGTTATATTATGGTAAGAAAAATACTGGAGAAAATGTTCTTTTTTTTTTCTTTAACCATCGCTATAACTCAGATCTGTTATATTCTTGATTTAAAATGATTTACCTACTTCAACTCGGACTAATATTGTTCATCCATGCATTCCATCAGATGCTATGGTTAAAAGAGTAATGACGATAAAAACTGTCTATTCTTGGACCGTTTCGCGATAATGACATCTTCATCATCTTTTTTTTTCAGCAGTAGTTTTATTGAAATGTTGAGTAATGGTTTACGAAGGTCTCAAACTACGAATATTTTTGATTCATGGCTGAACAGTTGCATGTGATCCATACCTGCATTGGTATATGCAACTACTTCGTGACTCACAAGTACATTCAACACGTAAATCACGCGATTTTGCGAGTTTCGCGTGCTTTGACAGAAAATTAGGGCATCTACTTAGAGTGAAATTCTTGCTGAAGTTCCACTCCTTGACCAAAGCTATGACAGAACGTGCAAAATTTAATATTATGAAAGGACGCAACAAATCTAAATCTCATTCGCCAAAAAAGTTTTTTTTAACTATTAGTAAGCTGCACTGTACCCAGCTCGCGGTCATATGGTCAGTGCAGCCAGCCGAACAATATCCGGCTGTTTTGACAGATCAGATGTTACGGGACGTCCTATGAAATTCCATTAGACCTTTGTATTGAAATGAACTTCGCAAATATATCCATGGTGAAGCATCTGCAAATCAATACAGGCTGAGCATACAATTGCTGGCCCCCCATCATATGCAGTGCTTTCCCTTTAACGCATTACACTGCCCCCGAATTGCGTTTATCATCGTTTACATCTCACTAACTATTTTCCTTTTTTTCTTTTTTATCGCCTCTATGGTCATATATTTCTGATTCAGAATGTCGGCGAGCATGAGCCGTCCACCGTTTGACCAGATGGACCGCAAATACACGTGCCTATGCGGAAACCTGCACATTCGAGTATGGGCAAACACAGTTCAAAAACAAATCAAGCGCTAGATTTCTTTAAAAAATTTAGAAAGGAGCTCGAGTGGTCGCTGTGCTGCTGGTGATCTTCACAGCAGCAAATATCGTCTTCAGTTTTACACGAACCTCAACGATTGCCATCTACACGTTGATGACGTAATTTTTCCAAGATTTCTTTATTCATGTTTTCTTAGCTTTTCGGTGCATCGTCGACTTCTCCGTTAAAGCTCTAGCTATAGCATCACTGATCAATATTGTATAATCAGAATCTATCCAATTTATTCAACGAGGTCGAAGAATAATTTAGAGCTCGGAGCATTGCAGCTTGCGCTTCAAATCTTTCTGGTTTCAGATTTTCTAAAAATCTCAAAAGGATCACCTGTTGCGAAATCATTTTTCTGGCTATAGTATAGCGTTAATCGCTTCATTTTTTTACTTTAGTGGATGAAATTTTCAAAGAATTTTCCCCATTTTCGTATTGTTGTGCTTTATCTTGCAGTCTCTAAGAGGTGTTCCACAAATAAGTACACACTTCAAGAGGTAAAGAATTCTCTTCCTACAAAGTCTTGCTTAGCGTTTAGTACTATTCAATAGAGTAGGCTTCAACTTGAATTTGTAGGATGGAATGTGGATCACCGTCATTCTTCATTACTGTATAATTACGGTAGAAATTTTAAAAGAGGGTTTTGTGCCATCAGTGGCTATATTTTGTACCAGAATGATTATCAGGCTAAAACTCCAACTTGAGGCCAAAAAGAGTCGCTGACCATGATTATGATATTCGCACCTTACGATTTTAGGCGCTAAAAAGCTGGTAAAAAGTTGTCCAACCCAAATCAGCATTCTGAAAACGCTGCTACGTATTTCAGACTTCTTTTGGATTTTTTCTTTTGAAATATCCGAAGTTCCCACCGTACCAGTAATCTGATCAGTGATCCGCAGTACTCTGTAAATCTGACTTAAAGCCAGCTCTACAGAATGGCACCTGAAGCTAAATAGTGTGTGGACAGAGCTTTATAGATAATCGAAAAAAGTGTGTACTTACTTTCGGGACACCCTATATTTCTTGTAAAGCATCTTTTTCAAAAGCTTTCCTATCTCTCATGTCTCTTTGTGTTTCTTCATTAGTGGACACAAACATGAAAGCTCAATCTTCTTTCTTGATAACTCTCGCCATTTCGATTTCAGTCATGGTAACGAATGTTCTGTTTTGAGACGCTAATATTTGGGATCTAGCAATGACCAACATGTTACATATAAATCTGTCTTTTATCTTGCAAATTTTGGAGATCTAGTAATAGTCGCGAATTCTGTACAAGAAAATGGTAAATACTTATATAGCAGAGTCATTAGTTTCTAAATCAGATTTGTATGAATTTTTTAGTGCCAAGTAGTAGCTCGACCAACTTTACTTTCCACGATCGTCCACTAATGATCGAAAAATAAACCCAACTGAAAATATCTGTATACTGGTGAACCACTAATTAAAGGTGCTAGATTGCATCCGCGCGCTTCGGGACCGCAGCGCGGTTTCCCGCTATTGGAAGATTTTTAGATTGAGCTAACGATTCTTTGTTTATTAGACTAATGAACTAATAATCTAAAGGTGCTATTTGGAAGAGCGTTCGCTTCGGGACCGCCACGCGGTTTCCCGCTCTTTGCACATTTTTGAATTGCGCTTACGTTTCTTTATATATTAGACTAGTGAACCAGCAGTTAAAGGTGCTAGTAGCATGCGCGCGCTGCGGGACCGCCACGTGGTTTCCCGCTATGTGCACATTTTTGAATTGCGCTTACGATTCTTTATATATTAGATAGATAGATAGATTGGATAGATCTATATCAAGGTTTTGAGAATTGCATTTTGACTGTGCACATTGAATCTCAGGGTTTTAGGTCCGCTTTTGCTGTCGTAGTGTTCGGAAGCTTGTTATACGGCACCTACAAAGAGAAACGACTTTACTTGGTCCCATATCTGGTTTTTCAGGTAGGGACCGCTTACTCCTCAAATATTAAAACTATCAAACTGTTACTGATATCAATCTTAACAAATACAGATCATTTCCGTTGGAATTACTGTCATCGTTCTTCTGTCGTTCATCATAGCAATCGCCGTGAAGTCAAACATGGTTATTGAACTGGCAAAAGACATCGGCGGTGTGAATATACACGTTTCTCAGAAGCAACTCGACTCCGGTGAGTTACAGTCTACTCACAGATAATTCATCAACCGCAGAGAATCACTGCGGAGCAGCGACGAGCGTGTTGTTGCAACGTGGCGCGCGTGGCGGTCGCTGCAAACGCTTTAGTCTGTGAACTCGATGAATCTATATTTTTTGATTGGTATATGCTTTCAGATCTAGCCACTTTCACTGTGCTATTCATTCTCGCACTTTGTTTGGGTGGTCTACTCCAAGCTTACTTTTTTGAGGTGAGGTCAAGTATATATGATCGAATATCTAAAAATTGTTAGTTGTTAGTCAGTAGCAGTGCAAAAATAGCAGTATTAACTTCAAGCATTATTGTAGCTTTTCTAACAGATTTATATGGTTTCATTTCTCAATTATTACCAATGCGCACCATGGGTGAAATATCAAGTAGGTGCAAAAGTAATAAACTTTCCCTATGCGACGGCGGCAGTGTGAATATTCAAAAGTGCACGAAGTATCTATTCGATAGTGCAAATCAAGCTCAAGACAATTACTAGATTTTCAGAAATCGTGATCTACTTCTTAGACGTCAAAATCAGGAATAATACGATCATCCCTACAACCGAATCTCCGCCAAATACATTTTGCCTTCCTATTTGATCATCATCACTTAGCAAAATATATAAGTGCAGTTGCTCGAAATTTTGAGGCTAGATTTGAAGAAACAAAAATAGGCTAAAATTACAAAAATACCTTTTGGTTTTTCAGTGTTGGATGTGATATATTTGGAAAAAAAGGCACTTAGATGTACTATGAAAGTGCGCAAGTGACTTAAATAAAGAAAAAAATGATGGTCGAAATTTGGCAATGACGTGCCCGGTTGTTGTTCATATATAGTTGTCGCTGTTTATCGCTCTATCTCTGCAGGGCTAGTAAATTGTTGACACCATTTTGCGGGTGGTGGACATTAGGTCGCCGAAAAAGGGCGGTCCCCGCGGTCATTTGCGACAAATACGGACCCTTGTACATGCGCGGACATGCGTTCCTACAGGGAATCCGCGCGGGACTCTTCCAAATTCGGCGACCTAATGTCCTCCACCCCCATTTTGCTTCCTCTCATACGTTTGTTGAGAAACGGGAAATATTGGTCAATTTCTTCCGATTCCTTTCTCTCTTGAGATCAGACGGAAAATGCAGCTTATAATTTTGTATGCCTATCAGAGGCATAACCAGGATTTTCTTCCGTGTGTGTCTGTGTGTGTGTGTGTGGGGGGGGGGGGGGGGGGGGAAGGGAGAAGGGGAGGGGGGGGGGGCAGCAAAAAAATTTTCTGATGAAGCTGCGCGCCTTCAGTCATTCACTTCAAAAATTCTTTTGGACTGCTTCCCAAAATTTTGCGGGCCCATAATTCCGAAAGAAAGGGGGGTGCTGTGGCAGACACGCCCTCGAAAAAAATTTTTAAAGGCTTACTCAATTTCTTAAAAATTTTCAAAATTATCTCAGTTATTTGCAAGTAAAAACAAGTTACTTGCACATTTTTCTAATACATGTAAGTAACTTTCAAAAATTCCGCGACCTATTCTCGGGGGGGGGGGTCGCGGGACCTCCTCCCCCCGTTCCCCTTTTCCCTGGATACGCCGCTGAGAGATAGGCACAAAATTATCAGCTGCATTTTCTGCCTTTTTCCGACAGAGAAAGAATGAAATAACCAATATTTCCCGTTTCTCAACAAGTGTATAAGAGAAAGTAAAATGATCTCCACAGTTTACTAGCCCTGAAGAAAGAGAGCAATAAGCAGTGAAAAATAATATCTGCAACTATCGCGCATTGCTCTGCCAAATTTCGTCCTCATTTTCTCATAATTCACACCATGAAAAAAATACACCGAATGCACGTGAACTTTTTATATGCACACAGTAAAATGCACAATAAATGTTTGTGTACGTTCGCTACTTGTAGGAGCAAGTAGGAGGTTTTATAGCATATTCGTGGATCAAACATCAAGGCACTCAATGTTTCTGAAATGACGTTTTATGCGGATAGATGCCATTTCGTAGAGCAGCTGTGCTTTATCAAATAAGAATCGTTAGCTCAATTCAAAAATCTTCCAATAGCGGAAACCGAGGGCGTCCCAAAGCGCGGATGCAATTTAGCGCCATTGATTACTGGTTTACCAGTATGAAAAAAAAAGGCTAAAATTACAAAAATACCTTTTCGGTTTTTCAGTGTTAGATGTGATATTTTTGATTGATTGGTTGATTTAGGCACATAGATGTATTATGAAAGTGCGCAAGTGACTTAAGTAAAGAAAAAAATGATGGTCGAAATTTGGCAAACGAAGTGCGCGGTAGTTGTCTATGTATAGTTGTCGCTGTTTATCGCTCTATCTCTTCAGGGCTAATAAACTGTTGACACCATTTTGCTTCCTCTTATATGTTTGTTAAGAAACGGGGAATATTTGTCAATTTCTTTTGATTCTTCCTCTGTTAGGATCAGACGGAAAATGCAGCTGATAATCTTATATGCCCACTAACAATGGTGTATCCAGGATTTTCGTTCGGGGGGGGGGGGGGGGGGGGGGTGGGGGAGAGGGGGGGGGGGAGGGAGAGGGAGGGGGGAGGGGTAGCAACAAAATTCTCTGATGAAGGTGCTTGCCTCCAGCCACGCGAAAGTTATATTCGCCCGATGCCCCAAAATTTTGCGGACCGATAACCTCGAAATTTTAGGAAAAAGGGGTGTAGCGGCAGACATACCCCCGAAGAAATTTTGACAAGGCTAACTCAAAATTTTAAAATTCTTCAAAAAATATTTCAGTTATTTGCAAATGAAATAATGTCACCTGCACATTTTTCTAATGCATGCAAGTAACTCTAAAAAACTTCGCTACCCATTCTCGGGGGTGAGGGGGGGGGTGAGGTCGCCCTCCCCCTCCCCCGCCCCCTTCCTTTGGGTTACGCCACTGATAGACAATACAAAATTATCAGCTGCATTTTCCGCCTTTAATTGACAGAAAAAAATCAAAAAAGAAATTAACCAATAATTCCCGTTTCTCAACAAGCGTATAAGAGAATGTAAAATGATCTCAGCAGTTTATTAGCCCTGAAGAGAGACAGAGCAATAAGCAGTGAGAAATAATATATCTTCAACTACCGCGCATTGCTTCGCCAAACTTTGGCTCATTTTTTTCTTGATTCACAGCTATGAATAAAAAATATAGCGAATGCTTGTGAAAGTGTTTACATTAAGTTGTCCCGAAAGTTCGTTCGCACCATTTTCAAAAACTCATAACTCTTTAAATTCTTAACGAATTCGTACAATCAAAATTTTCCGTGAGAGAGGAACTCATGGTCTTTGCATCTGTACCTGAATCGTTCGTTAATGTATACAAAGAAGGAGACAGAAGCTCAGAACCAAAATCACTCAAAATTTGAATTTTCTGTCTACTGTCATAAAAAATCGGAAACTTGCAACAAAAATCGGAACAGTCGATAAGTTTTTTCACCAGCTCTTTCTAACAGTGCAAAGTTTTCCCCGATTGAGCGTCTCTAAGAAAAATTGTGATTTTCCTGAAAAATGCGAAAATAAATCAACGCCGTTTTGTATTGCTTGCCCGAAAATCATAACTTTTCATAGAAACGCTCAATCGGCGCAAAATTTGCACCTTCATAAGGAGCTGGTGAAAAAACTTATCGACTGCTCCGATTTTTGTTGCGAGTTTCCGATTTTTTATGACCCTACAAAGTCAAATTTTGAGTGATTTTGGTTTTGAGCTTCTATCTCCTTCATTTGTACACATTAGCGAACATCAAGTACACATGCAAAGAGCGTGAGTTCTTCTCTCACGCAGGATTTCAATCGTACGAATTTTTTGAGAATTTAAAGAGTTATGAATTTTTGAAAATGGTGCGAACGAACTTTCGGGGCAACCTAATACATACAACAGGAATATGCATGCACAATGAATGTTTGTGTATGGACTACTTGTAGGAGCAAATAGGACGTTTTGTGGCATTTTCATGGGTTAAAATTTATTACGGCACTTAAAATTTTTGAAATAGCGTTTTCGAGTAGATCCCATTTCGTGGAGTAGCTGTGCTCTTTAGTGCCCCCAACTTTCTAATACAATATTGTAGCAGAACAGAAAAAACGCTGATTATTTCCGCAATAACTACAAAAGTTGACTACGAATTGAAAGCTTTTCCCTATCAAATAAATTGAAGCTCTTTTGGTATAGATCAGTTAACCTAACCGATTACCAGGCTGTCCCTATGGTGGCAACAAGGCTCGTACATTTCTGAGTATCGCGCTCCGCGGCCCTTTTTTTACGCGCAATTGCTGTAGGCACCGCAGGAGCATTATACCTTTCTGCGAATCAACCAGCTATAATGCATGCACTAATAATTGATACTGTTAAGATCATCTACTCATTCTATGGCTTTCTGCATGATCGTGAATGCTCGTTCAACTTCAACTTCGAATCTACACCAACCATACCTGCACCAGAAACAGTGTTCGGCTCTACAGGAACTACGAACGGCGTTCCTCCACCTTATCAGGATCAGCAGTAGAGAACAAACATCACGTCCTATAAAATCTTCCACTTATAATGTCAACATTCCCTTCAATCACTTCTGTTATGCTCTAGTCGTTGTGAACGCTATTGGAGTCCGGATTTTAAAACAGTAATCATGTAACTATTCACTTCTGTGTCGGTCTGTCCATACAAGTTGCTTCAGAGATGAATGTTGTATAATTTCTACGGTTCCTTTTACATTAAATGGTCATTCGAAAGGAAAAGTGTTCATACCTTGAATCTCTGGTGAACAACCCTCCGTGACTTTTATACAGGGTCCAGAAGCAATCACAACATAATAATCACCTTGCTGTCAAATCCAATTCGGTTGCTGTAGGGCTCTGCGTGATCGCAAAAGTCGGTGAGTTTACGGCCATTGCGCGCACTCGGCTTTCTTAGTTTACTTCCTCCTGTCAAATGCTTTTCTGCTATCAGATGTTAGCTTTCAATTACGTAAAGCGATTCTGGAAAATTCTGGTTGTTTGAGTATTTCGAGGCCTTGCGGCATCCTGCCTGTTCAGCAGCCGCAAACTCACCAACCTTCGCGCATACAGAGCCCTATACTAGAGGAACGGTAAATATACAGTAGTCTAGCGGCTGATTTCGCGGTAAAGCGCGAATTATGATTGGAGCATGATGTGTCGTGTGCTACAGCCTGACCACTGTTCTGGGAAGAAAATAAGTTTTTTACGGATGTGAACGATAGGCGTTTTATGGCTACAGGAAGCAATCGTCCTCGATTTCATGCACTATGTACATTCTAGGGGGTGTGTTTGTTGTGAAGATTCTAAATTGATCATTCTGCTTACATTCACAGTCTGTCCCATTCATGATCAGGCCGAACCGTTGCCGTGAAATTGCGCGCTCGCAACGCAGAGGTTTGCACTGCGGCCTGCTGTCGGAGAGAGCGAGTTGAAGAGAGAGCAAACAAGCAGGCCGTAGGCGTGCCACCCCCGCGACGCTCAGTCCCGCTATGCCAATAGCCTGGTTAGGATTGAGACAGACTGTAGCTCCTTGGCTACTGCAATTTCAAATTATATAGAAGCCCACAGGAAGTCGGACTTTGTACATATTAGGTTGGTTCATAATTAATGCACGTTTTCTCAACTTCCACTTCTAATAAAGACAATTCTTTACCGACATAATCTTTTTGAGCGTATCAAAAACTGTTGTAAACAGCAAACTTTTGGCTATACAACGTATACTTTTGTGCGACTGTATTCACTACGGGAAAGATTTCCGGCTCAGATTACCGAAAAAATTTTCTAGAAAGCTCTAGTTTGAAAGAGAATGACTTACTCTCAAAAGAACTATAATGGAGCAAACTTTGCTCATTGTGTAGCCAATGGATTCAATAGTAGCGTGGAACTTGGCTTTTACCAAAAAATTTTCTGCAAAAAAAAAGATATTGCCAAGAAAGCAAAAGTACCAATTTCTCCTGCATTTTAGAGAAGGCAAAAACTGTTTTTTTAGAGTCCTTCAATTTTTTCTCATTTAAAAAACGAGAAGAATCTGCCGTTTTCCTATCATTAGTAGTCCTTGGTCTACTCTAAAACAACTAAGTGAAAGCCCTGTAATTGCTTCTCACATAAGCTTCAAAAAAATCTAGCGTTGATGAGCATTTTGTGGCACAAATCTTCGCGATTATAACACATATGTTTTGAGACAAATTTGAGCATTTTTCATGGATTTAAAGCAAGTCGAATGAAAAGAAAAATTTCAAGTTTGAGTTCCTCACCTTTGAAGGCACGGAACTTCGGTCTGAACAAAGATCTCCGAAAACAAAAGTGTATTTTAGACCATAGAAGAAACGGGCTTTCCCACAGTTCAGATGGTTTCAGAGAAAAACGATTTCTGATTGAAGATTAGCGTATGAAAGAAGAGGTAGAAAAAACGTGCATTAATTATGAACCAACCTAATGTATGAAGTGTATTAAAATGATGTTTCGAACATTTGCTCTTTAATAGCATCTTCTACGAAAAGCTTTCGCCTTCTGTAGTTTACGGTAAAAAATTCCAACTTACAGCCCCATTGTGGACTAGTCTTGTTTCAAAAAACTCCCCAAATAACCTCAAAATTGTGTACCAGGATTTTCGCGCAAGTTGATTTCATTACTCAACTTTCTGCAAGTGTGCTACTTTTCAAACAATGTAATCACAATTTTTCGGAGCTTTGTAAAACCAGCTACTGTGGTCTACTTGGCAAGACTTGTGAACGAAGCATAGCGGTAGTAAAGCGCAAAGTTTACACTTAGTGTCAGCGGCTGTGATTGGCGTAGTATAAAAGGTTTCAGGTCGTTTGGTTTACTTTCTGAGGCGAAAAAGGGCCCTCTTTGGCTCAAAACCCTCTTTAAAAATTTCTAGCGTAATCCTACATCATTGAAAAGCCACCAGTGATTCGCTCCAATGTGCAAGTCCAGTATGTGTCAATTACGTAGTACCTTTCGCAGGGGGGCACGCGGAAGGCGACAATCGGCGAACAATAGAGGCTGTGTATCATCCGTCTCAATGACTTTCACGGATTTCTACTTGTGGCATTGAGTAATGTATCTGCTTCCACCCCCACCCCCGTAGTCCCCCGGGGTGTCACTTTGACACCGGAGAGTTTTTGATAGGCACAAAATTGGGGATTGTCGCCTTCCGCGCCACACCCCCTTTCGCATAGCCCATCCGTTACGCAAGGGTCTTGCATCGGACTTCCAATCAATTCGGCCAATTTGAGCGCCCAACCCATACGCGCGCAAACGTAGCGCGAGTCTCTAACGCGGCGATTGCGCCGATGTAACGAGAGTACGTGAATGACAGAGACTGTAAGTTGAGCCAGCTCTACAACTTTAAAGGAAGGCGAAAGCTTCTCATAAAAGAATTACCAGAGATCAAACGTTCCATACATTTCGGGACACCTTGTATAGTTGCCGCTGTTAACGGTGCGCCATTAAGGCGCAGCTCTTCCGCTTGCAGGATAACGCGACATCGTTTGCACCTATCTTGATGTTCTCTTGGTTTGAACTCATGATTCAGATCTTTTGACCGAAAAACCAGCGTAAAAAGTCGTTGCTTTCGAAAGGCCTGATCACTGATTGATGCGTATCGCTCAAAAAGTCTGAAGTGCTGGTCAAAGTTTCGACTCATCTATTGGCAGAACATTTCATTGAAGTAAGCTAATAGTAGACCATTTATCAACAAACTACAAGAAAGACCACAGTTTCACAAAATATAATCTTTCATTAAAGGGTGGTTAACAACACCCATCCTTCAAGTAATTACAAGGAAAAGAATTGTTGCAAATGCAACGCGGTCACACCTACATATGTATATGACAGAGAGCAACGCCGATAGCGTTCTAAACATACCACTCCTAGCTCAGCACTGAAAAATATACAGCAATTCACCACACTCATCGATTAGCAACACTTGCCACTATGTCCCGTAGCGCTAAGACCGGAGTAATGTCAGTTGAGAATCATATAAGTTAGTAGAGAGATGCAATATTACACTAGATTTTGCAAATCTTCTCTCGAAAGGCAGCAAAATCCACCGCTACGATTGAGCACATATTGAAGATATCGCGTGGCAAGTGGCCGAGAATATCAACTCGTAATGGAAGAAGATCCTAGCTCGTGTTCGTGAAAAGTATAACTATCACATGGCCTTTCTAAGAGTATCTCAAGGAAGCGAGCTGCATAAACGGCTACAACAAAGTGGACACGATCTTCAAATAACCACTTGAAGAGAAGCCGTTTGAAAAACCTGCTGTCTGACTTTCAGCCTGCCCGTATATTCGCAAGTGACCTTTCGTGTAAGGCAGCCATCAGGACATGGTAGCACCAAGATGTTTCCGTACGTGCTCATATACGACATAGCTAATGCTAACAGCAGGAATAACCTTGAACAGATGAATTCAAGATAAAAAAAACGTACGCATAGAACCCATACCTTCATGAAATTTGGTGCTATTCCTCGATAAAGGCCAAAAAATCCTTCGTTATTCAAGATGTAACGAATCTGACCAGTCATAGTATCAGGCTGCAGCGGATCTCCAGAAATTGCTAAAACGAAATCGGTTCCTCTTGCAAAAAAAGGATATTGGCTCGAATAGATTACCTCTGGCCTGCAATCGCGTTCTCACGAGAGCCAAAGGATAGCTGGCAAGCTGGCCACAAGTTGAGCTACAAGTTCCACACGCCAACAAAGCTAATACGCCGGGCTCGGCACCACCATTGTGACGCCGGACGTACAATTTTTTGAGCGTCTCGTAAATGGCCAGATCGATACCCGCATATGGTATTATACCCAACAAATTGGGAACATATCCCTAAAGTCAGAAATGCTTTTCTACACCGTGATAGGTGGCATGAGCAGCAAACTGCACCTTATAGAAACAAAGAGCTCCTTCTTTTTTGTACATTTTTTGAGCAAAGTGGAAAAGGCCGTTATCCAATTGACCAGTTTTTCTCAATGCCAGTCGGGTTTTCAACACTTCCATGGGATATATGACAGTTTGTGATATAGCACCAGCTGCAAAATATGATGACTGACGTGATATATGAGATATTATACGCAAGTTACCAGAAGAGCCCGCGAGTAACCTCTCTAAAACGCTCAATTCGTCATTCCCTTTGAACCTTTGAATCAATCTCTTACACTGAAAAGTAAGCCATTCACCCACTTACAGTACAACCAGTAGTGTATACGACCATACATGTACAACCCTACCTGGTCATAAGCCATGAATTTGATTGCGGATTCTGGAGCAATCTTAATCACGTTTATACCATTCCCTCTCCAAAACGACTTCGCACCACCTTCAGCATGTAGTAACCGCAACGATGACATCACCCCTAACCGGTTTGTTCGCGTAGAATGAACCTAACAAAAACGAAACTAGGTCAAACGACTATCGCAACTATTTACTGCACCTGCATGAACACTTTGAGCCTGTCTAGAGGAGCAGTACATGTTCTCGACATACATCCAGCAACAGCTCCAGCTACCAAATGTCGCCACCAAACACCAGAGATCATTTCTTGGGGAGTGAAATCTTCTGGAACTTGACTGTCCTCTCCGATATCAATCACCTATGAGTCAACACCATAATCCGTGAAAGTCGGTAAACAAGTTCAAGTGTCCGCTTACTAGATTATGGCGCCAGAAGTCCACCATGTCTTTGACATCGGAACTCGGATAAAGCAGCATGAAGTTTTGAAAATCGGATAGATCTACAGATGAAGAGTCTGAGTCTGACTGTTCGGACATCCTGAACAACGAGATATCCGATCTCAGCAGAACCAAGATTGAAAGATCACTTCTTCTCACTGGTGCCACAGGCAGATAAAAGAAATGCTACAGAAACTCAAGACGTAGGAAGCTAGACGGGCGTATGCCAACGAAAGATAGCTGCAAATAAGCGTACTGTAATCCTATGGTCAATATGCCGCGCATATAGTCTTTCTTTTGGAGCAATATGTTCTTCGGAAGATCGAAAATGGTTATAAAAGGTAAAGTTTAGAGCCCATTAAGCCCTCAGCGTTTTTCGCAAATTTTTTGAAAAATATCATAATGTAAGGACAGAACTTGAAAAACATTTGACCTACGCAACGCTTATGGCTGGCACTATCGTACAAATTGGCGCTGCCCCCAGCTACACCATTTTAACTTGTTTCTAAGAACGATTATCAGTGGTCAGAAAAACCAATAGTCACCTTTTTTTCAGCGACAAATACAGATGCAAGCAATAAAAACACAATGAGCAAGAAAATCGATCTTGAGCGCCATTCGATCTTGAGCGCCATTCGATCTTGAGCGCCATTCGATCTTGAGCGCCATTCGATCTTGAGCGCCATTCGATCTTGAGCGCCATTCGATCTTGAGCGCCATTCGATCTTGAGCGCCATTCGATCTTGAGCGCCATTCGATCTTGAGCGCCATTCGATCTTGAGCGCCATCCCGAGCGGTCGGTGTGTTGTTTGCTCTATCACACGGCCAACAACTTTACTATTGGGTCATTTTCTCCTAGCACTTGATTCCTTGTCGGATATTCCCATATAGCCGGCCTTACTCTTGTGCTACCTCTCATTGAAGTGATCGCTTTTTCGTACACCTTGACTTGACAGACTCTTGTGCTACCTCTGATTGAGGTGATCGCTTTTCGCACATCTTGACTTGACATTTTTTCAATTTAGTTACTGCTATCATTGCCGCTGTACCGCTGTGCACGGCAAATCAGGCTTCTTTTCCTGTCGCCAACCTAAGTATTGATTGTGTTTCGAGTTTTTCGTCGTTCGTGCAATCGCAATTGATTTTTTTTTCTCTTGCATTCTTCATTGCTCCGATTTTCCGTGCACGGTAGGTCAAATAAAACAAATCAAAACATGGGTCCAAAAAGCGCGCGGGGTAAAAACGTGTCCCTTTCACAGGCATGCTCGTCGAGAGTCGATGCAGGGAGTCAAACCTGCACCGACTTTTCGAGCATGTCGATTGAGGACGTGATCACCTCAATCAAAGATCGGTGCAATAATGACCCGGTCGTCGATAGGTTGTTGACTGTGCTGGTTGAGAAAATACCACGGACCAGCTTGGAGGATTTGGAGGCTGAAAAAAGGTCACGAAGCATAGTGATCAGTGGGTTACCGGAGGCAAGCGAGAGCTTGCGCTTCCACGAGCGTTGCTCTCAGTTAGAGAGCACGGTAGGGGAGGTGTTAGATGTATTGAAGGTCGAGTGTCGACCAACGGAATTGTATCGAATGGGCAAACTCAACCCTAAACAGCCTAGGCTTATAAAGGTTGTGTTCCCATCCAAACACCATTGGCGGACAGCGCTCTCCAATGCACGCTTGCTTAGGAATAGTGCTTTTCCTAATGTGTTCATTAGGAAAAGCATGACATCAGAGGAGAGGAAGCGCGCTTACGAGTTAAGGCAATTGGCTCGTGAGCGAAACCGCGATAAGGGTGCCAAAGAGTGGGTCGTGTATCGCGATGAGCTAATACATGTCTCCCAACTTCCTCGTAGGTCGGGAAACATGTAGGGCTGCATGGTACCTCTGATACCCTTCGTATATTCCTACTGAATGCGAGAAGTATTGTCAACAAACTAGATCTCTTACACGCATTTCTTTGTGAGACTAAACCAGATCTTTTGTTTATAACTGAAACTTGGCTAAATGAGTATATACTTGATTCGGAGATTGTCGGTGATTTACCATATGCCATTTATAGAAGTGATAGATGCAATCGCAGAGGCGGTGGGATTTGTTGCTTGATAAAAGGACTGATACTATCTAGCAAGGTTGATTGCAGTATCAAAATGTTATCAGATATTCTCGTTTTGAACATTTATCATCCATGTAGGCTTACGCGTTTGCGATTTATCGCGATATACCGCCCACCAAATTCAGGGATGAATGATGATGAAAAGTTGATAGAGGCTATGGCTGCGTATGCGTTTGCGACTGAGCAAGACGAAACAATAATTCTTGGAGATTTTAATTTGCAAATAGATTGGATTACCAAGAAAGCGTCAAATCATGCCTCTAATCTTTTTTTGAAGTACTTTGATGATTGTGGTCTCCACCAGTACGTTTCTTATCCTACACATGAACAACGCACCCTTGATCTTGTTCTCTCCTCTGTTGTTGATATAGTCAACGTACATGTTTTACCACCGTTAGGATCCTCAGATCATGGAATAGTTTGCTTTGAAGTCTCTAATGCCACCTTTTCACGCATGCTTCCACTGCCTGACTTTCACCGAGTTGATTATACCGCACTGAATGACTATATCTCATGCATTGATTGGTTCTTTTTGTTTGACCAGTATGATTCTTGTTCAGACGTGTATAAGCGATTTTGTGAAGTGGTCTATTCAGCATTTGGCAAGTTCGTTCCCATGAGACTGCCCAATGTTGGCTCGACGCACTTTCCTTCGCATATAAGAGCCCTTAATATGCAGAAATGCAGACTTTTTGATAAAATGCGAGACCCTGTTCATAATCACCTGTACAAAAAGGTGTGCTCAGATATTGACCATCATGTGAAGAAATTCATAGCTAATCGTGAACGTCGGCTTGCATCTAAAGCTTCATCTAGAGGTCTTTTCATGTATTTGAAAGCAAGATTGAAACCCAACGTGAATCTGCCAACGCTTGAAAATCAATCAGGATCCTTGTTTTACAGTGATGCTGATAAAGCTAAGGCGCTTGGTGCTTACTTCTCAAGTGTTTTTACCGCAGATAACAGCTCTGAGAATTATTCTATTGATGGCTTGCACACTGTTCACGGTAGTTGTTCCAATGTATATTTTGAACCGTCTATGGTGTTCAGCTATTTGAAACGTTTGAAGCCGTCCACTACAGAGACTTATGACGGTATTCCCCCACTTTTTTATAAGAAATGTGCATCATCTTTGGCTGCCCCATTGGCGCATTTGTTCAATATCTCCATGTTGCTTGGTGAGATGCCAGACCTTTGGAAGCATGCGCTGGTGAGAGCTATTCCAAAAACCCAAGGAGCTAAGCTGCTGAGTGACTTCCGTCCTATCAGCTTGTTACCAGCACCTGGTAAAGTAATGGAGCGAATCATCAGAGAAAAGTTATTGTCCTGGCTTAGCAAAAACAACCTTATCCCTCCAGAGCAGCACGGTTTCATTGATGGTGCCTCTACAACAACCAATCTCGTTGACTGCGTTTATGACTGGAGTCTGGCTTTGAATCAAAAGCAAGAAATAGATGTGCTCTACATCGATCTTTCGAAGGCCTTTGATAAAGTTAGCCATGCAAAGTTACTTGTAAAGCTCAAAATGATAGGGATCAGTGGTGCATTGTTGTCGTGGCTTACGTCTTATCTACAAAACCGCTTCATGACTGTCAAGGTTCGTGATGCATATTCGGATGCATACTGTTGCTCAAGCGGCGTACCCCAAGGAGCGGTACTATCACCGCTACTTTTTCTCATATACACTTTGGAATTGCCAAGTCTTCTTAGAATTTCGCAGGATGTAAAAGTAAAGATGTATGCGGACGACATAAAGATCTATGCAGCATACAGCCCTCATACCCGGCACAGGGTACAATCCGAATTGCAGCTATCTCTTACAAAACTGCAAGATTGGGCTACCCAATGGAACCTATCTTTGAATCAAAATAAAAGCTGCGTCTTACACATAGGTAAACATGCTGCAGGCACATATGAAGTAGGAGGGGTTATCTTGGGATCGCGCTGCTCTGTTAGGGATTTGGGTGTCATCGTCGATTCGAGACTTTTATTTAGTGAGCACATTGATAAAGCAGTTAGGCAAGCATACTCAATGATGTACAGACTTTTACGATGCGTTAAAAGTGATTCTCCTGTGATGCTTACGCGCCTTTATAAGGCACTAATTCGCCCTCATCTTGAATACTGCTCGCAGGTTTGGAATCCTAACCGTAAAAAAGACATCAACAAGATAGAAAAAGTACAGAGAACATTTACTCGTCTTTTATATCGGCGAATCTTTCCTGACCGTTCACCACCAAAATATGATGTTCGTCTCAAAACACTCAATCTTCAGAGTCTCTTTCGGCGAAGAAATTGTTCTGATCTAACTTTTTGTTTCCAAGTTGTTAGAAAAGAAGTCAGATTAAAGGCAAGCAAATATTGGGTCTTCATGCCTATCAGTGAAAGACTGGGGGGTTTCAATTTACACTATGGTAAAATCAGGAATTATAGCTCATCGAAAATGTATCACAACATATTTTGCAAAACTGCAAGGTGGTTTCAACGGCTACCAAAAGAAGTCCACAGTGCATCAAACTCTTATTCTTTTCGAGCAAAATTGAATGATGTGGACTTTTTATGATTCACTTCAAGGTTGACTAAAGTTTGGTTGACTCTCAATGTGTTAGTGGCTCACTGCATGAGACCAAGTGCTAGCGCTCATCGCTAGTGTCTTAAGGCTGAGCCTTGACATTACCTTTCAGCAATGCTCGGGTGTTTGGGACCAAGAGGCTTTAGTAGCCACTTGTCGTAAACACTTGGGCCTTGTGGCTTTGATTTAGGTTTCTGCATGGGCCGACTGCAATTGTACGTCTATCTTTCTCCCACTGCTATCCAATGCCTGCTTCTATCTACTGCATGGCACCTTTGGCAACAATGGTTTTCCGCGCTGGTTTAACCTTCATCTCCATCGGTATTTGGAATCCTGCTCTTGGCAACCATAACTCCCTGCTGATGACCAAATGATTGCCCCTGCCAATATTTCGAATTAAAATCTTTCTATTTCCACTTCTGTATCTTTTCTTTTCTTTGGCTTCATTAGACATGGCATTTGATACATATAGTCTTCCCCATCAAGTTTTATCTGTTTGATTTATTCTCCATGGCTACACTAGTTTTAGGACCTAGACAAAGTAGGCCCGCTTTCGGCTTGAGCCCTTGATTGTCGGATTTTTACTATACTTACACTTCGTCCAACGTTGGCTTGGGTCCCACCCCCTTTTTTGTTGTTCCTTAGTAACAGCTTGTTAGGCTTGATCGCTTTGCATATTGCTATCTTCTCTCCATCGGAGTTCTGCTCTCTCCCCAGAAATTGGTTGGGCGAGCTTAGTCATACTATCATACTTGGTTGGATTGGCTTTGTCATACAGTACATTGCGTAATCTCAATACCCGCTACCCAGCTACAGTTGCTTATCGAATGATTTAAGAGCACTTGTGCTGCAAGCAGGGGGCATGAGGCAGACTCCATCGAGATTCTTCGCCTATGACATGATTCCGTACATGGTCTAAACAAGCTTATTTCCCTTTTCTTTATACAACATTCGGGGGTTGGACTTAAGCTGATTCAATGGATGTTTTTTTTTTGTGTTACTGTTTTCCTTACTACTGAATGTATCTTGAGTTTTTTTTCATTGACTGTGGTCATGTGGCACGCATTTTGCGTATCAAATAAATAAATAAATAAAAAAAAATGGAGTGGCTGCATAAAATCACAAAAAATGAACCCACTTTTGTAAGATGCCTTGAGCTTTCCTATCATCCAGCGGGATTCCAAGATCATTACAAAACGTTTTGATTTCTCGAGCATCAATGATACCTTGACATCAATGTTAGATTTAGAAAAACACACTTGTGTCATCAGCTTACCGTCATTGTTTTTATCAAGATCCTGGAATATGACCTCTAACCTTTTCTCGTGTTCAACTACGTACTTGACAAAATCAGCGAAATTGATGTTGCCGTCTTTTCCAGGGGAGATCCGTGCCAAGAGTTTCTTTCAAAAATAAATTAATCCTCTAGTAATCGAAAGAACCTGAGTAGTTGCAAGATGTATCTCTCACTAACTGGGGCCAATCGCGTCGGTATATGGGGCATTTCATGCTTCAGTGCTGCTGTTAAATCTCTTATATCAACTGTGCCATCATTGTTGATATCCAGCCGTTCGTAAAGCTCCCTCAGTCTGTAATAATAGCATAGAAATCCAATATTTACAGGGATGACAGGGTAAGAGAGCCATGCACTCCACCTTTTCTCCTTTTCGGGTGATAAGCCGGACAGCGCAGCATGAGTAGCTATCGCAGTCTCTTTAGGAACTGTTCCCTAAATAATTACAGTTTTAGTGACAGCCAGTGTAGTATCATATACTACACTTATTAAAGCAATAGCACTCGCACAGAAAAAGTTTCTACCGCTCAAAACATATTATCAAGTTGATTTACTTTCATGTAACATCTTAGCTAAACAATAAAGCCTCTCAAGATGAGAGGATTCGCTATCACTATCAACATATCTGCTATGTAACAACAACTCAACTTCCAATCGATTTGTGCTATTACCTAAAGCAAAAACTTGCATTGCTGCAGAGGAACATGTGTTGAATATTGAACTAACGCTAACTTCAGATGTAAAATGTTTAAAATGCGCGATTAAGATGACAAATCATTAATATTCAACATACAGACTTTGCAAGGTGTGGTAAATTTCTCCAGTAAAGATGTAGGTAGACAATCAAAGGCGTTATATACTCAAAAAGTGAGCTCAAGGAATAACTGTTCAGATATACTGTTTTCAAGTACAATATTTCACCAAAGAAGATGAACCTGAGCTCGGGACATTTCATTTGAGAAATCCAGTCAGCGACTATATACGTCTATAGATCATGCATAATGAAAAGTATGTAAATCCCAAGTTAAGATGATAGAAATGGCAGATATCCACATTCAAACAAAAGGCTTGAAGTGATTCATGAGCAAATCTGACCAAGCAAACGTGAGAAAAAAGCATTTGCTGCCGATGCAGCTGAAAGGACATCTGGTTCACTTCACACTTTTTCATTCCATCAACGTGATTCACCACAAATAAGAAAAGCAATCAAATCACTAAGACCAACCCCAAAGTGTACATTGCAAAGAAAAGCGATCGAGTCAGTAAGACGAACCACAAAGTGTACATTGCACTAATTACGAAAAAAAAAACCAAGGATAACAAAAGCTCACCTGGATGAGAGGTGTATGGGTATGTTTAACCGGAGGTTGTAAGATAGGTTTCAACTGTTTTGCTTGAGCTGTCAGTTCATGTACTACGGGGTCCACTGGAAGACTGATAATCATAACCAAAATCAAAAACCGAAGTAGTTTATTCAGAAAGTATGGAAGATGCGCAACTTACAAGCTCTAGGAGATCTCTGGGAGGATGAAGATGGCTCTGCCTGCGGATAAGGATCATGCTTATCTGATGAGGAAGTGGACTGCACCACTCTAGAAAATCTAAAAAATAAACAACCATTGCGTGATTTATTATGTCACTGAAGCGATGACGATACCTGTGCAAAATGTTGGAGTCGGTCATAATGATTGCTGTGAACACAGTCGTAGTGACTGCAACCCATTTAAATCAAGATGTCGATCAACGGAAGTAAGTAGTCGAGGAGTAGCAGCTTCCAAAGCAAGTCTATGAAAGGGTATAACTTAAATGGCAAAGACCAATCAAAACGAACTCACTCACTTTAGATTAGCAGGCAGGAAGACTGCAACGGACTTATGACACAATCGGATACATATAAATCAATTCGATCTCAACGATTTCGGCCAGGCACAAATCACGTCTAGTGTTAGGTTGGACCGATGAACAACGACGAGCACTAAGCGTCGATTAGAGTGTAGAGTGCAACATGGCACGGAATGCACCGCGATTTACGAGCGACAAATTTTATTGTGGATTCGCTCACAACTTCGTCCCCTCTCTTTGTCGTTGAGCTTCCTAAGTTGAGTTCTGGGGATATGCGTTTAGTTATCTTTTATAAACTTACTGGAGATTTTGAAGATATCCGTGTTTTTGATGTGTCTAACTATTTCCACTTCAAAATGTGCTTGTCCACATATTTAACATGAACAATAGTCGCTTACCTTAATGGTTATTGTCGCTTCCCAGGCAACTCGGAATGAAGGCTATGTAATATCTTCCAAATTAACATGATCAGCTGCCAAATATCCTTTATAGGCAAAGATTCATCAAAAACTATGATTTTGATTCCTTACTTAACACCGTAACCCTCTCATAAACGTTTTATTTTTTGCGAAAGGGCTTTGATTTGGTCGGTTGTGCGAATGACTTCCACTTTCCACTTTCACCATGAGTTAAATTTCAGCAAAATTGTAATTCTAGCTTTTACTTGCGACGAATTCGAAATGTTACATTCATAAACTTCGCTGAAGTTTGTCCAGGGGGGGGGGGAAATGGCTTGGTCGACTTGCTGGAACCTAATATCATGGTCACTCTTCAAAGAAGGGTCTTTTGAAAAGGTTATGGAGTAGATATACTGTGAGTGCCATACAGATCTTTTTGAAACTTTGTCTGGAGGGGTAATTTGGCACTACTCATGTCGTATCGAAAGTGATAATCACAATTCCATTTCATATGCGTTCTTGGTGGTTTATTAAGAAGATTGAATCATGTGTTCTACATCGCTCATTACAGATGGCGGTCTCAACATCATCTTGGAAGGAACTTAGGAGTGTTCTTGATTCTGACAAGAAATTGCTGAAAAAACCTAACCTGCCACTGATGGCAAATCAGCTCAACTCGCTTAGTCTTCGTATGCAGTGAGTTCATCCAGATCATAAGTCAACTAATCACATGAGAAATACTAAAGCAATGACATTTGTAACTTATAAAGTCGTTGGGTAAAAGACTATTACAGAGATGAAGAACTGCCTCGACATGCTGCTGTTTGCCATGTTGAACAGGCTCATCTTTACCAGAAGATGGGGAATCCCAACGAGGAAAGGAAACAGTATGCCACAGCTGCCGGTCTGCTCAATAGTACTATCCGTTCAGATATGATGAACAGGAGCAGAGGTATGCATTACTTTATTAACCATATGTATTGATCTCAAGCTTTGACTTCCTCACATTTTTCTTGCAATTTTTTCATTTAATTTACCACTCACATCACTACTCAGAAATCTACATGCGTGATTAAATACCTGCTCAAGTCGCAGATGATAGATCTTTGTAGATCTGAAAAGGGGTGGCTTGGCTTTCAAGCTCAGCGACCTTTTGATTTCACAGGCAGCTTCAAGTTTGAGGATATGAACTGTTAAATTGTCATATGTATTGTCGAAGTTGCAAAAATTCTGCTATGCTGCAAACATTTTATAAATCGGCACTGTTTAATTCATACGTTGCTAGATGATAAAATTGTTCATCTATGAGTTTTGTTGTCTTCTACTATTTATTCATGTATTATTCTCTCTAAGCACTACTTTGCAGTTTATAGCAGTTCGCCTAGTGAGATGGCTGACGCTTACTCCAAATCAATCAAGATTGCCATGGATATGAAAGCATTCAGAATAGCAGGTATGAACTTTCGGAAATTCATCATTCATCCATTCTTTCTCTTTTTTCCTCTTCTGACAGCTTTCCTAGTTAAGCATTCCCTTTGTGAGCAAGACGCCCATTCTGTTGTACATAGTACTAAAGAAAACGGTATCTGTTGAACCTCAACCAAGTTAGATTCGCAGGACCTTCTAGGTTTCTGCATTGGAATCGATTGCAGTGAAATTACGCAATTTGCTTGGAGTTCCAGCCGGCTTTACCTTGTTCGAACCTGATATAAAAACACATCCTTGTAAAGCTGTCAAATTATCTTATTGATGGACAGACCATATACTTTTTGGGACTATAAAAGCAGGATAAAGGATGAGTTTTTAGTACCTTCTAAGGGCACGCGCTGAACATATTCTACTTTATAATCGGAGAACTACTGGCGTGCAAAACTCTACAACCGTACTTGTACGCAGTAACTTGCATCAAAGTCTCAGAGTATGTAGATGCATTGATCGCATTGATTGTACTGCTGTAATTATCCTTATGGAATATACAGGGGTCTTCAGCCATCTGTCGTTTTTGGACATTAATTTACTCCAAATGATCTTTTATCCAAAGAAACTCATGTCAGTAAATCAAATTTTTTCCTGTCTGTTTCAGGCCTTACATCATTGGAAGCCGCGAAAGCTCTGGTTGGCTGTAATCATTACGACATGGCGGAGGAACACGCACAGAGGGGTAACTTTTTTGACTAGAATACTTTCTTTTCCAATCTTTTTTGAGTTGGCAAATGGTCTCTCAAAGACCATCAGCCTCAAATTGATTTGCAGTTGCTTGTTTGTAGATGTATCGTCTAGTCTGTAGGGCGTAAAATGGGGTCAATAATTATACGCTTGTTTAGCTGCCATGTAATAGTTGTAGAGTGAAGAAAGACAAAGTCGCAAAGTGCTATCTTATCAAATTATTTAAGCTGTGCGACTTCTCGAGGGCGAATTCTACACGTATACTCGTGCTGTCTACCTACTTGCGGAGATCCACTTCCACTTATCCGAGTGGGAGCACTTGCTAGCTGACATCGACGATTTGTGGATGAATGTTATGAAAACTCGACCGAAGTTAGCAGTTTCATCATGTTGGCTCTATAACATCGTGCGACTTTAGAAGTGTGGCTGGTAGGCGGATCCTAAAAGACCTGGAAGTGATGACCGTGTTAATTTTGCAGAAGTCTCAGGTACCTTCCTATTTTCAGAATTTATTTATCATTTTCTTTGTTCATATGTCGCATATTCCCTTCAAGTATTCGGGCTCATGTGACATGTTTTGCAACTTTAGTGTTAGATGTCGCGGTAAATAGTGCTTTTGCGCTGTCAGCAACATTTGCGCGTAAAACATTGTCGTAAACTCAAAGTGGGATATTCTTTACATATTCAGTTGTTGACGCCACCATAGAAGCAATATCGCGAACTATACTAAACCATAAGTCAAGCAAAACTTTTGAATCAATTTTTGTTTGCGCTTGTAGCTAATCTTTTGCGTGTGCTCATTTGCAGTATATATTTCTCATCGAGGCAGGCTATGTACAACTGTGCAACATGTTTTTCTGCATCGCTCATTTACAATATAACAATTATCCGCAATCTGTTCAAGCAAAGGTTTCGAAAGGCGCTGGTTCATGATTTGCACATCGTTTGTTTGGCTGAAAAATTGTCGTTTGTTATGTACAGTTGGGCCCAATGGAGTTGTAAGGTGTACTCTAAAGCTTATCTAGGTTTAAATTTTTGGAGTTCTTGTGTACTCTTCTGCGTTCGTATGATGTCTGAAAATCCAGCTAACGAAAACTTAACTTTATATCTCTACAATCTCCTGCATGATGTTTGTCTCATTTGAGGTAACTAACAATCATGCAGGCATTCATTTCCCTCTTTCTTAGAGTGATTTACATCCGCAGTACAAATTTGCTAAATTCCTACTTTGATTTTCCTATACTTCATTTACTTTCTCAATTGTTGCTCAAATTATTTGTTATCTTTGGTCTATCGCGTGCTTTGATGCAGGTTATTATCACTCTTTCATTTTAGAGCAACTTTTTGCAGTAACGCAAACGTTTATGTAGTTGCTAAAAAGCGATAGGATCATGAAGACCATTAGTTATTATCAGCAGTACAGTAGACTGCAGGTTCACTTCGTATTTGTTCTTTTGTAGTATATCAGATCCTCAGAGGATGTTGTGTCGACTTCTTTTCGGTTGCCAAGTTGATCCCTTTCGAAAACATTCACGCAGAATAGTTTATAACTCAGCTTTTATTATGATTTTTCTCAAATCAACGATGTTTTGCCAATTTGCATAGCTGGCATCTCTGATATATGTGAAGATCATAAATTCTTAAAAGTAGTGCATGCCAAGTTCACAAACTTTTTTGTGCTTTAAGTCCTTTTTCTTATTTGCAATTCAATCGCCTTCATGTAGAAAGCTCTCTTCAAGAACCAGGAAAAATCACTAGAAATCAGGCCGGTAGCCAGGATAGCCTTTTGCAGTGAAAGCGCTGGAAAACGGAAATAGTCGCTCTAGATCGGTGAAAGGATTTTTTATGGAACTGTCAACCGTCAATACTTTTAATGAGCTGTATTGTGACACATACCATTCATTACACAATAAACACAATAAATCTAAGAACTGAATCAAGCTGGTGAAAACGTCTGGTCAGTTGAAATCAATCATATAATCTCTCTCTCTTTATTGTGTTCGTTTATTGTCTGTACTACTGCTACCAATCAGTCTCGACTGCTACGCGGATTAGTTCATCGCTAATACGATATGAGTGAAACGGGAAATTTGAGGAAGTATTTTGTGCATTTTCTGTTCGGGCAAATTGTTTCTTCGGGTTACCTTTTATCATCTTTTTCATCCTATGATGCTAATGCTTTTCGAGCGTAAGCTGCAAAAAAATCAGAATCTGGGAATGCTGCAGATGAGACCGCCCATAGCTTGCATTTTCAATTTTGAAATTATTCAGTTTTGCAAATGCAATAAGTTAATAAGTTATGCTGTTTATCATTTGAAAGCTTTCGAAAAGCTCTTTTAAACATCTCCAAAACTTGAGTACACGTATATCAAAGTGCAAAAAAGCTGGAAATGTGTCATTGTGGAGTGTGAGGCTGAGATCAAAGTTAAGAAGCAGTGAGATTTATCTAACGTAAATCATCGAAAAGAGCTCGTAATTGGTTTTCGAATGATATATAAGCCATATGTAGTCCCATATTAGCGCAATCTGAAGAATAAAAGATCCAATTTTTTTGTTATTGTAGTGTCTTCTAACCTTATTAACAAGCACCGCCCACGATCCACTATACTTATGCTAGAACTGTAGAACTCTTCAAGTGCTTCGAGTTACGTAAGGCAGACCGTATCTTCTTAAGGTTTCGTGGAAACTACATGTTTTTAGATAAAAACTCTTTTGATGGGCGGACTTATCTGCGTCCTATTTTGTTTTTAATTTTAAATTCAAATTATTTTTTAACATTATTTTTTGGTTTTAAAACTATAGAGATTTTTGATTTCAAATTTTAATTTTCTGAATTTACTTTCAGCTTTAGTAACAATTTTCTTGGTTTTAAAAATATAGAGAAAATCAAAATAGCCGAGAAGAAATAATTTGTTGCGCAAAAGTATTTGATAATATATTCTGCAAATTTTCCGTTTCATCCACATCATATCAGCGATGAGGGATCTTGCAAAGCAGTCAAGATGTACCGTAGTAGTGCAGAATAGTATAGTAAACAAACTGTAAAGACATTCTTTCATTAATGAATAACGGCGTAAGACATTTATTTCATGTTTTTTTCTAAGTCGCGATCTTCTAGATTTTTACAAAAGTTTTGAACAAATTTTTATCATTTGCTTACGCCAGTAGGGTGGGGCTTATCACAAATTAGTCAAACCAACTCTACAAAGTATCTACCAAACATCCATATGAATCTTGATCCACGTGAAGTTTGAGCATGAAATCTGAAGACTTGTAATCACGCGAAAAATCGAATCTTGGCAAAGAAAAATTATTTTCCTACTCGCTTAACACATTGACGACCATGCAGATTTTTAGTTGTCTGCCTTCTGGGACCAAGGTCTTTTACGAACCTGCCCACATTTCTCAACTATAATCACGCACACTGTCATCTACAGTACACCTACAGTAGATCTGAAAGACTCACATAAAAGGTAGAGGTCATTCCTAGATTCACTGCAAAAGAAAGCTCGTGGAATAAGTTCATACCGGCATAGCAGTCATTTTGGCAAAATTCAAGCGTTGACACACATGGTATGTCAAGCGGTCCCACGCTGTAGACATTGCTTGACAACCATGTGTGTCAAGCAATGTCTACCGCGTGGGACACCATGTGTGTCAAGCGGTCGTCAATGTGTTAAGCAATGCTTGACGCAGTAGTCATACATATGGCTTGCCTTTCTTTTAATGCTATTTAAAAAAGTGATGGGCATGGTTCTAATCACCCCTGTAGGCTCTGGAGTCCTCCCACAAATGTACTTTAGCAGCTCATACATTCAGAAATATAGTCATGACCTGAAATATGTCAAATTTTGAAAAGACGACGACGAGACAACTCTATACTTCTATAAAATGGCCGTGAGGAGAAGGATTGCTTAAGCTTTGTTTGACATTATTGAATCTGTATACAGCAAAGTATAGTTGCTTTCATGTGTCTACTATACATATGTACATATGAGCGAGTGAGTGGGTTGCAGGATACATTACAGGTGAATAATCCTTGGTCGAAGTGGCCTTTCCAGTTAGGAAGCAAATAAACATATAAGGCACTGAACGCTGATTTTAAATTTGCCTTCCTTATCTACGGACCTCTGGGTGAGGAGTCATAACGATTTCTGAGGCGAAAAACTGAACTATCGATTGGATAAAATCGATGGTGAATAATTTGTTCAATTCGCAGTTGGAATTATGCCGAGTAAGGGGATAGCAAGCAGGAAATTCTCTTCTCGCAGAATAGTTCAAACACTCAGTGCTCCATTTGAGTTACAAGAGATTCTATAAGTGATTTTTCCCTAAATTCGTGTTCAAAATTTCGCTACAAAAGCTCTCAGGCTCCTCGTTCATAGGTGCTCCGCAGATAAGAGAGACTAATGTGGAATCAGCCTTTGATGTCGTTTAAAAAGGTATGCTTCTCTCTTCTGGGAAAGCCACTTCGACTATGGATCTTTCCCTAATTAGAGCAGAGGTTTGATTTTTTGGCATATTTTGAATGCTTCTGGATTTTAGAAAATTGATGTGAACCAAGATGTACGTGTCTGGGTAGGATCATTTCGTAGGGCTTGCTTTGCTGTATATAGCACCTTTTCATAGAGTAAACCTGACGGCTGAAAGGTTACGGCGTCAATTTGGCAAAGGCAATGTTCTCGTAACTATTTGATATCTGATACGTTTGTATTGTGTATCTTGGAGTGAATCACAAAAATTGCAGGTTACTCCAAGTGGTCGGCATAAATTGTTGAAGGAGCTTTACGAAACCAGAAAGACAGACGAACCTCAAAAGGTATTTTTTTATAATTTTTACAATTTTCCCTTTGTTTTTTCGCACTAGATCAAGAAGTCTTGAAGATCGGATTCATATCTCTGTCTTTGAAAACGTCAGCTTTTTTATATTTGGCAATAGGTTATGCAGAAAAAAGTGCTAACGTTTTGAGCTACCACAAATAGTTAAGAAGAGCATTCTCAAGCGACTTTCATAGTTGAGATTTCTGCTTGTAACCCATCACCGACGATGTGCGAACTAGGGTGGTGTTTTCGCTTCTTTAGATAAGGTGGCTCTGAAACGGGAAAAAACTCTGAATTCTGTCGAAAAAGTCAACTTCAATTTTGCACGATTTTGAGCACGTTTCACATTGACCATCAATATAAAGTGAAAATCGTAGTGGTGTATATTTTTTTCAGAATCATTTGAGCTGTGCTAGAATTTTATATAATTTTTAAATCAGAGATAATGGAGGAACCCTTTTCATCTACCATTCAAAATTACATCTTGAGATTTGTGCTTACTTACAAACGCAATTTAAAGATACAAAGGAATCAACCGAATTACATTCCTACGTTCTTAAGGCATGGATCTAAGACTGACGATAACAAGACGTGCACTTTACCATGACTTTGGCAAATATTGAGAATCATTTAGCTAAAAAATTCTGGAGAATTTCTTAAGAGTTCATGCAGTCTTGAGTAGTCCGACATTCCAAACGTATTCGTTCTTCCAATAATAACAGAGCCATCAGGTTGCTAAATACTTAAATCTTGCAGCAAAAAACATCAAGTTTGTTTTAGATGCTCAAGTAATTTTCCAAGGCATATCATACACCCTTGTAACATACATAGTGTCCCAAACAAATGTGCATACTGTTGCTTGGTCGTTAATAACTTTCTTGTATGTCTTTGACCGATCTATAGGTACCATTTTATAGAGCTTGCTTCAATTTAGATATGAGAAGCGAGTTAACGACCATTTTCATTCCTGTGGTAATGGTAGAAACTTTCGGCATACAGCGCCATTGTGGTTGTGGAATATATCGTTTGATAGAAGAAATTCCAAAAAAAAATCTGGAACCTCAGTGTGAAAAAGAAAGTTAAGGATGGATAACGAGACAATAAGCTCTAGACAAATCAAAAAGAACGTGCACTTTGTCAAAAAAAAAAACTATTCTCAAGAACCTTGCATCTTCAGAATTCATAATGAGCCCGTTTTTGGGTGTCAGTAAGCCCCCTCCCCCACCCCAGTAAAACTTAGTTGACCTGACTGCAGTTTGTTTCGAAGGATAACAAGATTCTGAATTATATCTTAGCATTGTTTCAGTTTCTTTTCCTTTCGTCGCAAAAATTACTAGTTTCAGAAAACCACTAAACCGCCAGTGCCGGATGATTCATCATTGCCAATTCAAGAGTTTATCGTTTTCAAAAAGTTCCTGCATTTGGCTTCTACCGGAAATTTGCGAGAAGCGAGAGGACTGATGTTTGAGAAGGGTTACATGTCTACGGCAGCAACCCCGGTCAAAACTATCCGTCCAAAGTTTTCGTTTCTCTCTCCACTAGGAATCCAGGTGCTGCAACGATTTTTGGATGAAAATCCAGATGACTACGAGTACTGATCGTCGTGCCGCTACTGCCTATTCTAACGTGTGTGACCGTGTGATCGATGATATTCTGTGTGTGTTGCAGTCTTCCAGAACGTTGTTTTGCTGCGCGCATTGCTCGCTCTCGTAGTCAAGGTGATATTCGTTCACCCACTCCGTTTCTCTTGCCCTCTACCCGTGTCGCTCAGTGCGTTCTTCGCTACGCTTTTTACGCTCTTCACATTTGTCCATTTTTGTATCTATTCGAATTCTTCACATTGATCTCAAAAATTTCGGTTCTATGATGTGATATGTACTGTACTTCTTTCCGTCTATGTCTTGTTGATTATAGTAATAAATTGTCCAACATAATTTCTGTCTCGCAGCATGCGCATCAACCACAAATGATTTGCTCGTATTGCGCGCCGCTGTAGGTTCTTCTTCAGCATGTCGGACGGAGCGTCGTCCGCCGGTGATTTTCCGCCAAGTGATCTGCTCACATTGGACATGTTCACTATAGAAAAGAAAATAGGAAAAGGAATGTTTAGCGAGGTCAGTACGTGTTGCTACGCTGCCATTTGTGGTCTTGGTCTTGAGATTTTATCTGAAAAGAAGTTAGGTCGTCACATGGTATCGATAACCTTGGTGTCCTTTTTATAAACTTTAATAATAGGGTCCCTTGTAGATCAAATTATTTGGTTTGAGGACGGGAAAAAGTAGCGGGATGCATGGATTTCATATTGGCTTTTTGGTTTCATTTGGTCTGTGAGACGAGTCTGATCCCAGAAATAGGAAGCAGTTGTTTGGAAGAAAAAAATCTATTTCTACAAAGTGATGGGTCAGTGTTCCCACTTCACTCTGAGATATCTTTGGGAAAATTATCGTAAAAATCTTTGAGAAAAAAAGTGGACTCAGCCCCTAAGGATACTATAGAGTTGAACAATTTCAACCCTGGATCATAAAGTAATTCGTTATCTCTTTAGAAAATTCTACATTCCAGTTATTGGATACGATTTTCAGAGCACTAGTACGGCTTATTGTTTTTTACCCCCCCCCCCCCCCGCCTCCCTTCATTTCATTTTTTCTGAGTGGTTTGCTATAATATTTATCGTAACATGAATACAAATTAGGAGCTGTAGCTCTTATGTAATAATCTGAAGTAAGTGATCTTGACTTCTTCCTAGGTATTCCGTGCAAGATGTAGTTGGAACGGTCAAATGGTAGCACTAAAAAAGATACAGGTATTAAACTGTCTATTCTGCCGTGCTTTTTTCCCAGCAATTTATCTTCCAGGTTTTCGAAATGGTAGATCAAAAAGCTCGACAAGATTGCTTGAAGGAGATAGATCTCCTTAAGCAATTGAACCATGTAAATGTCATCAGGTTTCTTCTCCAAAGAAATAGTGTTCAATAAGATTGTGACTATGAGGAAAGAATATTCTTTAGATATTACGCGAGTTTTATCGATAATAATCAGCTTAACATTGTTTTGGAACTTGCGGAAGCTGGGGACATGAGCCGGATGATTAAGGTTTGTTTTTAAGAGCCTTATTTATTGGTTGACTTTGTTTTGTTTATTGAGAACTTTTCATAGTTCAGCACTTCAAAAAGCACGGTCGCTTGATACCAGAACGGACCATATGGAAATATTTCGTTCAGTTAGCTAGGGCCATTGCTCACATGCATTCCAAAAGAATTATGCATAGAGGTAGCGATTAACCATTTTTCCCCGAAAGTTTTAATTTCTATGCTTTTCAGATATCAAACCAGCAAACGTCTTCATCACTTCCGAAGGCGTTGTGAAGCTAGGAGATTTAGGTCTAGGTCGCTTCTTCAGTTCCAAGACCACTGCTGCTCACTCACTGGTCGGCACTCCTTACTACATGGTCCGTTTGCTTTTTTCGCACGTTGGTTTGTATGATTTTGTCAAATTACAGTCTCCTGAACGGATTCAAGAATCCGGCTACAACTTCAAATCAGACCTTTGGTCAACGGGTTGTTTACTGTACGAAATGGCTGCATTGCAGTCTCCTTTTTATGGTGACAAAATGAACTTATACTCGCTATGCAAGAAAATAGAAAATTGTGAATATCCACCTCTTCCTGCGGATATTTACTCTATACAGGTGATTTTTTCTTCTCAATAGTATCATATGTCTTTGTAGTTGAATGCACTGTACCAAATCCGCGAGCAGAGACACTGATCTCATGTTGAATCGTACTCAGTTTGTAAAAAATTCCAGGAATTAGGCTCAGTGATCCATGAATTAACGAGAATCTTTTTCATCACTCGCATGTGCTAGGCTTCTGTTGTATCTACCAAATTTTTGAATAGTACAATTATTCCAGTCTTCTGAAACTTTTTGTAGAACAAATCCTTTATCTCATTGCAGTAATATTTTCGTATAATTCCCCTTAAATCACTGGTTGGTTGACACAAAGAACTTATATTTGAGCAAAGGGAATCCAGCAAATATACAAATTGAGCTACCATATCCAGCTTCGGGTCAAAGTTAATACTTCGGATGTCTACTCTTATATTCACTTACATTTCGTTGAGTCTAAAATTTCACACCACATTTTTTCCTCAGGATCGACTGAGTAGCTTTTTCCGTTTTTTTATTTTAGAATCGCTACCTACGCATTGTTCACAGAGTATGGTAGAGTTCGACATCAGTGGGTTTCCATGGAAAACACTTTTTGTAGCTTAAAACTAGCGTTTTCTGAAACTGTTTTGCACTGGAACTTCTGACTGAAGTACAGCATGTGTGACTATAGCCAGTTGTATAAACATCATAATGGGGAACAGTATTAGCAGAGATTTTACCTAGGTAGAGGTTTTGAGATTTCTACTCCTTCTTCGTGCGTCTAAGGTTGAGTTATGTATTTTTAAAATCTCACATTCAAATATAGAGGACTAGATGGCTTACCCGGCTCCGCCCGGCCCTGTCAATAACATATTTGTAATCAGCATGCTCGATTACCCCCCTGTGCCAACTCCCAGCCCTGTTGCTCAAATTTTGCAAAAAATCGATAAAATCGATATCGATCGATGACGAAAAGTAGCCTATGACACCCGCCGGGGCCCGAAGTGTATGTGTGCCAAGTTTGGTCCAGATCGGTTCAGAAATGGAATTTTCTATTCGGAACATACGTACAGACAGACAGACATACAGACAGACAAACAGACATTCAGCTTTATATATAAGATTGAAAAGGAATGCATTGATAGAGATTTTGTGATTTTACTAATTTTTCACCTCAAATTTAGCTTCGCGATCTCGTGTCTCATTGCATCTCTTCCGACCCATCGCAACGTCCCGAAACGTCCGAGGTGCTCGAAATCGCGGAGAAGATGAACTGCTACTTTCAGCAATTACCCGCACAAACAGCTACGGCCAAATAAACTGCAAAACAGGTCTTAGAGAAGAGTTCTATGTGTTGCTATTTTATCTCTATGCAGTATTTACTTGTAACTTGTATCTATATTCGCCAAAGCAGAGCAGTTTCAATTATTCTTGTGAAATCTGCATAGTCTAGAATTACAGGTTGGTGTACGATTCTTTGGTTAGCTAGGTTCTTATGATTGTGATCGCATTTGCGAATATTCAGAGATCTTTAATATATGGCTATCAAGCTATTTTGAAAAGTACAAGTTATGTTGTATGAAACATAGAATGAAGATTCGATTCTTCGCATCTATTCTGGATATGTTGTTGCTGCCAGGGCCTTTCATAAGGGCAAATGTCAACCTGGAAATATTTTTACGTGAAAGAACAAAAGGATCATCGTAACCACATGTTCATATGCATCACATACCCCTCAGACATGTTCACCTCTGTGAAGACCAGATTTTTACACGACTAACGTATCCAAACACATCCAGACACGATCATGTTCAAGATGCCATTTTAGAAATAAAGTTTCTTTGCACAAAGTAGTGAACTGGTTCGATTACGGTAGATACATAAGATTATGCTACGATGGTATGTAGACAATATTGTGTCAGCGCGTGGCGGTGAAGCCTTCCAGAAAAAATTAAAAAAAGCTTATTTGTCTCAACTTCTGAGCAGTGATACTTCTTCTTGATTGCGTTGCGTTTCTAATATTTGTGTTCAGATTCTTTTAGGGTTTAGGTCTTTAGGGCTTATGGTTGTTATGGTTCTCCTACGGTTTGGTTCTGAGGCTTGATCTTCTTTGCACTTCTTTTCTTCCTTCTTTTTTCTTCTATTTCAATTTTCATCTCTCAATAGTCCTCCTTCTAGATCCTCGCTCTTGTCCTTGCGCTTCACTATCTTTTTCGTTGGACGGTTCTATGGCACACGACTCCGCCTGTCTCATGTTGATCCTTACTCTGGGCTGATTGTAGTCAAGGGAATGCGAAGAACGCTTTGTTGGACTGTAGTTGATGTTAGAACAGACTCTACCACTTCATTGGACCATTATTCCCCTTCTTTGTTTGGTTTTCTTTTAACACTTTCATGCCTCACGCGTTAGTTTGGGTCTGGTTCCATCTTATCACTTCCTATGCTTGGGTTAGCTTGTTTGGGCTTGACACTTTTGCATTGTGCAATCTCTTCTATCGGAGTTCTGTTCTCTCCCAGTTTTAATTGGGCGGGTTTTAACAATATTACTACCATTACACCTACTTCCAACATATACAGCTGCTTATGTTGAATAAGAGCATTTTTTGCTAAGAGCAGGGGGCATGAGACAGAATCCATTGAACCTCTATACCTGTGATGACTTCATATATGTCTAAGCAAGCTCACTCCCTTTCCATTCCCAGAAAGATTTTGCGGACTGGACTTGAACTGATTCAGTGGGGAGTTTGCCTTTGTTTTATTTTTTGTTGCTAGTTGTTTGGTGTGATGCTTCGTTTTTCTGTTGTATGAGCACGCCTTGTGCGTATTAAATAAAATAAAATTAAATAAAATTGTGCTCACTAGTGTGGACCTTTGCGTAACAAAAGCATGAGCAATGCAAAGGAAGAGGAACAGGCATGTCAACTCATTTCCAATATATGAACTCGGAACATGAGCTTGAATCTGATAGCTTGTTTGTCGATTTGGTGCCAATAGCAGTGAACTATCTCACTCGAAAAATGCATCCGGCGATCCCGGCTGCAAAAAGATGCTTTATCGAATTTTGCAAAAAAATACGCAGAGCCTGTTATTCAGCGGTTGGCTCTGCGTCAAACTCGAATAATCTAGATACGGAGTTCATTCGAATACGGTTTTGAACAGACATTCGAATAAAACATTCGAATAAAATGTATTCGAAACCCCGTTTTTTGATTATTCGAGTTTTCGAATTTTATTCGAAACCCCGTTTCGTCAATTATTCGAGTTTCGAATATTATTCGAAAATTGAACAACTCCGCATATCGAATTTCGAATGCGAATATATTCGAATGCTTTATTCGAATGATCGAATTTCTATTCGATTCGGTGTACTGCCCATCCAGTCACCACTCCGGAAAGACGGCGTGTGGGTTCTCGGGAAAGAGGATTGTCGGGGTTTTCGAAGATTCTCGACTTCATATTCGGGAACACGGACATGAGAAGGCCCTGAAACGACAAAAACCTGGAAGTCGAGAATCTGGGTGGACTGTGAACAACTGACGCTCGCTTCCGAAAGACAATGGGATCCACAAGGGAACCCATTGTTTTCAGGGTTGTCTGACATCCCGCAAGCGCGATGAAGTCGCCGTGAAGTTGTAGCTAGGAGCTCCTACGACAGTGCCAGGCATGTTTGTAGTAGAAATATATAATCTTAGGATATCAAAATCTTCGATGAACCACTATTCGTGGTTGGTTCGTTGTTCGTGAGCTGAGGTTCCTCGAAAAAATTCAACCTATACAATCCATTTGTTTCTTCGAAAACATCCCTAGTAGTACCATGGTGAGTTTTCAGTACAACTTTATGACAATTCATTAAGTTTCCGGAAAGGTGAACGACTTTGGAAACAAGGGTGGATGCCCAGAAGATCAACAGTGGAGACTCAGCTGTGTGACAATGTTCTGCCATCCATATCCATGGCGCCATCTAAATCTACAGTCGGTTTTATCCCGGATTAGGTGGAACATTCTAGGAGGAGCAGCGCGTGCGCATCGCTGAAGGCTTCGCGAAAGCGTAGCGCTGGCATTTTGCCAAATAAAGACAGGAGAACGAAGAGACGCAGACCTGGGTTCTTAGCACGATATGTAGCTGCGAAATGGCGCGAGTTGTTGCGAAGCGGACGCCCGCCAATCCAATTTCCGCCCAAAGCGGGCCGGAACTTACTGTACTTAACCGGCTGCGTGGGCGGTCGCGCGCGCGCCATCGCTGCGTGCCGGGACCCAGGACCCCCTTTCCCAGCACTAATGTTTGAATAGCGTTGCAATGTATGAATGATTTCGGCACGACAGCTGTTGCCGCTAATTTGTGACTGCACTGCATGGTTTTAGTTGTCTATTAGTGATGGAAGTGTTGCAGGTTCCACTGAAATATACGTATACCCTTCCTACATTCCTCATATCGTTATCCGAGCTGAGATGCTTTGATTCAGACGCACAATTTGATGGTGATAGTCTTGCTAGAGAGCCTAACATGTCAAAAGTTTCAACGAATGTGGGAAAGTATTCATGCGAAGTTGCGAACGTTTCTGCTTGACTCATACTTTTGAATGTTCTTCGAAAGAGATAGAAATAGCAATTTTGCTCATACAAGACGCTGTTGCTGTGCAGAGCAATAACTTTTGAGGCCTAACTTTTTAATTTCTAACTAGTTTTTGCAGTTTACAATTTGTTTAGAGCCTTCATGACAAATAATATTGATTTTCTCCTGCGAGCTTATAAAGTCTATATAAGGCCATTACTTGAATACGGGACTGTGTTTTTTAATCCTTGTAAGAGTAAAAGTATTCACGTTTTAGAAAAAGTCCAAAACAGTTTTACCAGGAAACTACTGGTAAGGAGAAATGGGTTCATATATGGTCGCTTTCCCAATTACACTCTAAGAAATAAAAAGTTGGGTCTCGGTCTCTTGCTGCTAGAAGGCGTGTATTTGATCTGGTTATCTTATATATAAAGCTGAATGTCTGTTTGTATGTATGTCTGTATGTCTGTCTGTCTGTCTGTGTGTAGGTATGTTCCGAATAGAAAATTCCATTTCTGAACCGATCCGGACCAAACTTGGCACACATACACTACGGGCCCCGGCGGGTGTCATAGGCTACTTTTCGTCATCGATAGATATCGATTTTATCGATTTTATCGATTTTTTGGCAAAGTTTGAGCTACGGGGCTGGGAGTTGGCACAGGGGGGTAATCGAGCATGGGGATTCCGAATACAATATTGGTTTTTAGGATTATCGATTATTTTTTATCGATTTTATCGATTTTTTTGCAAAGTTTGAGCTACGGGGCTGGGAGTTCGCACAGGAGGGTAATCGAGCATGGGGATTCCGAATACAATATTGGTTTTCGGGATTATCGATTACTTTTATCGATTTTATCGATTTTTTTGCAAAGTTTGAGCTAGGGGGCTGGGAGTTGCACAGGGGGGTAATCGAGCATGCTGATCATCCCCAAGGGGGGTGATCAGCATGCTCGATTACACCCCTGTGCCAAATTCCAGCCCCCTAGCTCAAATTTTCAAAAAATCGATAAAATCGATAAAAGTAATGGACGATCTTGAAAACTAATATTGTATTCGTAATCTGCATGCTCGATTACCCCCTGTGCAAACTCCCAGCCCCGCAGGTCAAACTTTACAAAAAAATCGATAAAATGGATAAAAGTAATGGACGATCCTGAAAACTAATATTGTGTTCGTAATCAGCATGCTCGATTACCCCCCTGTGCAAAATCCCAGCCTCGCATGTCAAAATTTACAAAAAATCGATAAAATCAATAAAAGTAATCGATAATTCTGAAAACTAATATTGTATTCGGAATCCCCATGCTCACTTCCCCCCCCCCTGTGCCAACTCCTAGCCCTGCAGGTGAACTCTGCAAAGAAAACGATAAAAATCGGTAAAATCGACATCGATCGATAACGAAAAGTGGACTGTGACACCCGCCGGGGCCCGAAGTGTATGTGTGCCAAGTTGGTCCGGATACGGCGGAGCCGGGTAAGCCAGCTAGTGGCTCATAAGATTCTTTTTGGAAGCTGCAAACTCAATGCTTCAGATTTTTTTGAAAAGAGAAATTTCATAACCAGAGGAGGTTCGCGTAAGGTTGTTTTACAACGACCTAGGAGAAATGTGAGGAGGGTTTTCTTTGTTAACCGAGTCAGTCATGATATTGATAAGCTTATTAGGAAAAACAACTTTCCTGTCAAGTTGGCACAATTTCGAAATTTCCTCAAGTGCTATCTATCTTCCCCTTCGTAGTTTTCTTTATTTCGTGCTCTAATGTCCTTTATCATGTTTGAATGTTTGTTATTATTACTTACTGTGTTTGGTTTGTTATTGTTGATCAATTTGTTGTTTGTTTTCTTTGTTGTATTCGCCTAATACAACAAAGAAAACAAACAACAAATTGATCAACAATAACAAACCAAACAACGCCTATATAATTAATTATTATTATTATTAATTATATAGGCGCGCCTATATAATTAATAATAATAATAATAATAACTCTGCAATTTATACAGAATCAGAGTAAGAAAGAAACAGTCATCTA